CTAAAAGATTTGAAGCAGATAATGAATGATTGGATATATTATGGAAATGGACGAAGAAAAAAGAATGTCAGTTCAAAAAAAGAATGTCAACGGTCTGATATGCCGGATTAGGGGTGAAGAGGAAGGAAAAATGAAAGACAATGACGAGAAGCAAGATATATATAACATTACCATACCACGGGTCGACATATCATTACCAAGCTACAAGAAAATACTACATACGACGCCGCCTGTTCTTTGACTGCGACTTTTTAGAGATGTTTACATGCATCTCTGAATTGATTCCCAGAATTATCGCCAAGTTTTGTGGCCAAGGAGGACATGGCGTTGTTAGGCGTCGTCCCGTCTTCTTGGAAAGAGTCCGTGGAACCAGATGAAAAGTTCCGATCGGAACGTCTCATGAATTTCATTCGTCGAATATTTCTGAAACATGAATCTCTGGAGGCAAATGGATTAAAATTTAAGGGGTACTGACGGGAGCTTTAAATTGGTGGGGAAGCCTTTCTCTTTCCAGCTAAACTCATTAATAGTGTTTATGCGCAGTCACTATTTCTCTTGAGATATTCGTCCCAACTTCAACAAAGGAGAGAAGAAATTCGAGTCACGCATTTCTTGAGGTCTAGATTCCATATACGTACGGTACATTTGACCTGGCAAGTGACAGGTTTTCTATTTCCCAAATACCTGCTTACCTATGAGAAGAGGTTGTCGCTCTCGGCCCTAGATATGTTTCTGCACAGTCTTCAAAAAAAAATTCGTCTGAACTCAGAAGGGGTCAAAGCATAATGAAAAATATCTTTATTCAATTTTTATCTCTAATTTATATCCCTTTTCCCAAGTCCAAAAGAATGTGCCCAATCGTAATCGTTAACTCGTCAATCTCTCAAATCATCATTCATCCATCTTTTTTCCGTCATTCGTCATTTATCTATTACCAGTCGTCATTTTCAAGTCGTCTATTGTCTAAATCAAGCCTGAGCTCGTTAATCAATTATCATCCTTCGTTCAGTGCAGGCGCTGATCGAAGAACTCAAGATATCGAGGGGCTCTCTATGCCTAATTCATTGGGGTTAGCTTAATTCATGATTGGCTGTTACTGAGGGAAATTTATAAGGCTTACCTGGCAAGCATAGTCGGTGTAGCATTGCTCATCAACCTTTGGCTCATACAAGACGAATCTTGTAAGACGGACACAGGTCAAGGCAGTGGTAGAGGTGCTGACAGTGGCGCTACCAACGGTAGACCCTGACTTGGCGGCATAAGCATCCTCGCCAATGACAACAGTGGCGTTGAATGGAGTAGTGGCCTTCCAAGTTCCATCTTCGTAGTAAATGGAGTCAGTTTTGCTGAGGATGGCTGTCTTGCTTGGGGTCTGGCCAGCGAGAGACAAAGACTTGGTTGGGTAGTAGTCTATCTCAGCGTAGGCTGCGAAGGTGATGTTGTTGAAGCAGTTAACGAGGTAGTACATTTGGGTAGAGGCGGCGCGGGCATCGATGGCTGCTGCTGGAATTGCAGCTGGAGCGGCCGAGGTAAGGGTGGAGAGGACGAGGAGAGGGATAGAAGCAATCATGGAGAAACGCATTTTGATGGTTGGTTTGAGAGACTCGAAGAGTGACAAGTTTGAGAAGGGTTTGTAAGTTGTTGTAGAAGGAAGATCTTTGAGATGATCGAAGTGTTGTGATGATGGGAAATACTTTGCTGATGAAGCCTTCTTATATACTTTCTTTTCGTAGGAAGATCGATGGATCTCTGAAAAGCTTTTCTCGACCAAGCTTTCCCTATGCATCGCTGACCGCAAACAACCCATGTATCACGATCGTGGAAACAATGATACATCATCGCCGCGATTGGCTTTCTCCTCTCAAGCCACTATACAACATACGACACGATTTGAGACATTCGAATCAATCAATCAATATTTACTGGGCCTCAATATCATCTTTGGCGCCAAAACGTTCTCTCGTCTCGGGCACCCACTGTATCAGCCATGAAGATTCTACTGATAACGGCTTTCCAATAGCCAGAACCGACTCCTCTGGACCACGATCGGATTATGATTGTCCCATGTAAAGAAAAAAGAGGCACAGTTCAGTTGATGATTGAGCAGACAGTGGTCCCGATAATCATTCTCAATATTTTCTTACATGATGTCGATATCTTTCAAACGGGCTAGATCGTCTTGTTATCCCAGTTATTCCGTATTATTCCACCAAACAGAAAGCAGTTTTCAATATCTTCAGCCATTGATGCCTTGTAGCTGTAGGTCATCGATATTTATGCAGGGTCGGAACGAGCCCGTATCAGGCTAAGCGATGCCCCACTGAACAAGCATAAACAACGGCTTCCGGATCTGCAAGTCGATCGTAACGGCGATGCAGACCACATTCGTATGAACGCTTGAGGAAGGATCTCCGAAGTTGATCTGTTGGCTGTCAAATTAGTCAAGGGTCTTTATTAAAGTGTTAAAATCTCTGCCAACGCGGGTCTGGCCCATACTTCCGAACCAATTTTTCATCGAGGCGGTCAAAGCTCCATGTCATCGATGAGAGGATTTCCACGCTTATTACAATCTTTGATCTGTGATCTTCGATACCGTCAGCCCGGTGGATGAAAATTTGTTCTTGCGGACTCAGAAGAACCGGTTAGGTTCCGAAACCCCCACAATTGTGATCAAGGATCGTTCGGTGACCAAATTGAACCCTACAATCTGCCAGATATCATGATTATGCTCAGCTGAAAAGCGTCAAATATCTCATGTCTATACCAGGATGTGAAAGTCAATTATAGATTTGCTATCCGAAAAAGCAGGTATGGACGACCTATCTCGTGGCGTTAAAGAGCAAATCGATAGCAGCTGAGACACACGTCGTCGTCAGGCGCCGTAATCCTACATCGGATCTAGTCGGACACGATCGGATCTATCCAAATCCCTCCTCACCGCATGTAGCATGTATTTTTGGAAGACATCGAAACTCAATCTAGATCTCAATTCATAAATTCATATCATATATTCAAATCAGATTCCGGACACGTTAACTCGTGTATGTGATCCCACCCAATGTGGGCGGACATGCACAGAGAAGTGCCACTACCTCGGCCTTGTGTTGTGCAAGTGGATACCATATCCGAAGAGTTTTTCAATGTAACTACATCCTTTTTGTGAAGTATTGCATATTCCAAATTGATATTTATCTTTTTCATCTATTTTGGCTATCTTAACTGCCCATGGATACAATGATACGATATCGTATTGTTTCCACGGAGCAGTCTCGGAGTTTCGGTCTTTCCTTTGTGTGTGGAAATCGAATGATCAATGTTTCGTTCTCTCTCAATGTGTACCTTGATTCATCAGTCAGTTCTATACTTGCTTTGTTACGATATCACATCTGGACATACCGCGATGAGTTCCATTTCCTTGCCAGTAAGGCATCGGCTTTGACTTCAACTCTTCCTCTACCAAAGCAGAAATCTCTAGCAATTGAAAGGCAATGCTAAAGCTTGCATTTAGCTTTGAGAGACAGCAATCTTTAATCATGATCTACAAAATTCTATGGGAGACGTTTACTTATTTATATCTGCAGGCCGTTAAAACCGATACCAACGATGTAACATCCAAGAAGTCTTAGCACTCCTACTAGCTCATCGGGTTGAGATTTGGTGCTTACATCAAATCATATCGTTAGATTTGGATACGACACCATCACGGACAGGAACCAATTCCACTCCGCAGCTAGTGTGCTAACCGTTGTGGCATCAGACGACACGGCATAACCATTGCACTGGGAAAAGATCGAGATAATAAGCAGGGGAATTTTGATGGTGCTACTATGGCAGTCTAGCAGGATGGGGAGGAGCGGCTCGTACCGACTATGCTTGAAAGATGAAAATGCGGCAGAGAAGCTGTTAATACTCTAGCTCCATAGCCGTAATTAGTTGGGGTTGTCGTGTTTTGCTACTATCAATTTTGAAGATAAAATACACACCAATTGTACAAACCTCATGATTTGTTTGGCTCAAGTTATTGAACAGTCTGCAACTTCCCGTATTAGCTAAATTTACACTAAATAGAAACTTACCAAAGTTAGCCACCTGAATGGGTAGCCATTCTATCTCAATTGAAAGAAATAATAATTCCCCGGCATCGAATAGCACTCAGGCTCTCATGAAAATGCAGTGAATTGACTGTGCCATCAAGCAGGAACTTCACAAATTCAGTAACTGTAATAACTTGATAAGTACAATAGGAATGTGAGCTACATATATTCTTTGGTCGTTTTTAACCTCTTTGCATTGTTCTTTTGTGGATTGTTGTGTTTAGATAATTATTCAGAGTTCGTGAGTGTCGTAAACTTGATTGCTGGCACATATTCCCGAAGGACTGAGGGCTATTTGTTGGCACAAAGTGTTTGGATTGATTAAAGATTCTCACATGCGATAGACACAAATGAATAGTGTTTACATTGGAGGATCCGAGGAAGTGATCTCAATCTATGAAATCTAGACTCATATACGGCTTGGTTATGTCATCACATGAAGTTCTATGATAATTCGAGAAAAATACCCAGTTTGTATTGATGCAGAACTAACTAGGTGTATAAAATACGAAATAAAAAAAGCAATTTTATTGTGCCGAATGTCTGTACTGTACTTTACAAGAATACAAAATTAATAACGATACATTTAGAAGTTGAGAACTAAACATTAAAACTAAACATTGAAACTAAATATTGAGAATCAAACATTAAACTTTACGAATTACAAATTAATAAAAACAGATGTATCAACACAAGACATCGCGAGGCCACCAGAATGTAACATAAGAAACATGCAAAAGAAAAATACAAAATGCTAAATTGGCTACAACATTAACAACATAGTACAGTACAGACAATTCGCTACGCCAAGCAGTCTCTTGAACTCCCCTCATCTCCTTCACATACCGATATAGCACGATATTAACCGTAGCCCGGGCTAGAGACTCAGAGAGACAAGACAACCGTTTAACGAGTGAAAAAATCTTCATCAAATTTAGCAAACAAGGCATCCATTTCATCCGCTGTCATTAATTGACCAAAACTAGAATTTGCAGTCGGGACGAGAATCGGAGTAGGATCGGAAATAAGGGTCGAGGTCAGGAGGGTAGAAGAAATGGTAACGTAAGGAGCATCATAAGATTGACCGCCAAAGAGTTCCCATTTCTCGCCATTGATAGCCGTTCCACCGGCATCAGGATTAGAGGGACCAGAAGCGGGGAGATCCGACGAAGGGCTGGCCAACTGACCGCTTGGAAGGCCGACGGAACATAGCCTAATCTCTCTCTTAAGAGAGGGAATAGAAGAGGCTCGGCGTCTTTTGGCGGCTGGCCCTTCTACAGCATCTCCTTCGACTGGCAGCTCCCTCTTTCTCCTCGTTCTTCCCCCGCAAGAGCTACAGCAGCTAAGTATCATGTTCCCAATGATCTTCTTGGGGAGATACTTTTTTGAGCCTACGCTTACAAAAAATTTGTCCCTGCCAAAGTGGCCAGGCAAATGATTCTCTGCGAAGAGAGCCCAAAACTTCTCGCCCAGTACTACTTGCTTCCATTCCTCCTTGTTTTTACCCTCCCCTCTGGGCATGTACTTCTCCATGAGTACGCCATCATTAAGGTCGTGGTCGTACTTCAAGGAGTTCTTATACGATGCCGGAGTTCCCTTGTAGCCCTCTGGTACGTCCAAAATGACGTCGGGATCAGCGGCGATCGCTTTCTTGTCCCGGATCATCCTTTCCAGTCGCGACCGCGATGGCAGGAGCGAATTGGGATCCTTCGTCTTCTTATCATTGACGAAAGATTCGATCAATTCATTCCTCCATGCTGGGAAGGACAATTTACCGAGGTCTAACGAGGCGTTGGGGGCGACAAAATCTATAGCGTCAATGTGCCTAGTAAAAATGTCCCTTCGCTCTTCTAGGGAAAGATTTGAAGTCATCTATTTGATGTTAGCCATAATCCCAATCAATATAATACATTTAAATCACTCGGATGCTTGAATAATTGGATCGAACTCAGACAATGAAAGCTTTCAATCATCGGCGTGCATTCCGGACATTTGAAAGCTTCTAATGTTGACGACAACAAAACAATCAAAACAAGTTCATTGATTCAAGTTATCCCATTAGTTTAAAAAGGTTCAGAGAATGAGAGCTTCAAATTGTCGGGTTACAATCCGAACAATCGGAAGCCCTGAAGGTTTGACAACAATACAATATTCGAATACGGTTCGTTACTTCAAACTATTTCAATCATCTAATTCAACTTGGAGAATGAAAGCTCTAACCATACACCAAGTAATGAAATTGATGAGACTTCAAGTTAGCAAGCCAACCTATACACAATTGCGCTCCTCGCCAGGAGCTCTCGCGTAATGTATCAAGCCTGAACCATCAGGCGTGAAAGCCAGAGGTCCAACTCGCGTAATGTACACCCATCCCCTGATGTACACGACGAAGTATGTTCTTGATGGGAATACATTATACAAGACAACACAACAATTGATAAACTATACGAAGAGCAAGAGTATACCAACAATGATCAAGCTATCTTAGCTTCTCAAGTTCAGCTTCCACCAAAGAACTAGACTAGGAGACTAGCGCGATCTGTTTGATCACGTGTTTGAACGAATTCCCACCAACAACTTCCAAAAAGATTCAATAAGATCAAGATAAGCTTGAAGGCTACTCAGCCTGATTTGGAAGGCCGAGTATACCAGTAGATGTACTGAGAACCTCCAAAAAGCCAACAATCGTGGAATAGTTACAAGTAAGCTGTGTACTGCTGAGCAACTCAAACTGACTTAAATGTATCTAAATGATCCAAAACGTTGCATGTTCTGTCCAAAAATTCAATTGCGAAGACAAAAATGCATCAGAGAGCCAGACTTTAATGCTATTGTTCCGAAGAAGTACGCAATAAAAGTAAAAGTGCATCAAATTGAAAGGAGTAAAGTGAAAAATGAGGCTTACTTTTTCTGACGTTATCCACCAGCTATATTACACTCTTAATCGATTCGAGGATTTGGCGACGGAAGGGCGAATTCGATATTGGGGGTAACCTGAAGAGAATCATAAGCGATTGCCTCGAAAATGAGTGGAATTGACAAGGAAGGAGCGATGTGGTTATTATTGGACGGGAAAGAGTTCTTACCTTGGGCAGCTGCGCAAGTAGCTGTTATGGTAATAATCGGTAGGATATTGCCTAAAGTGGGCAGTGTGTGTGTTGTACTTGAGATCTTAAAGTGAATGTGAATATTGTTCTGGTAATTGAAGAATATTCGAGCTTGATTTCTGTAGATGTTGGGTATGATATTAGAAAGAGAAAGAGAATCAGAAACAGGGGGGGTGAATTTATTTTTAAAGTGAATTGAGTACTGTGCAGGAGTACTATATTAGTCTGGAAGCTTATATTTTAATTTTTCAACTGGAATGTACATACTATTTTTCTGGCAGTTGTCGATCATCGAGCTTGAGGAATAATCCAGTCTAATATGACAGGAACGGCATAGTACACGTCTATTGTACCATCCAATGGCAGCTTCCCAGCAATGCTGCAATAGCCTTAGGTAGGCCAGCGAACATGTACGGGCCTACATGCGAAGAAGGTACATGCTGGTTTACGAGGAGGAGGGTAATGGCAGAATAGGTAAACGGGGTATGTAGTGCTCATTACAAGCGTTCATCTTCTTTGAGGATTTTCAGAACTGATATTAGATTATCATTTGATAGATAATTCCCAAGAGCTCTCCGTACAGAGTATCGAAAGTTCTACCTACGATGCCTTCGATCACCCACACATCCTCCATACGTACGATGCCTATGAACCAGGAAGATAGATGGAAGAGATATACAACACAACTTATTGCAACGTATAGCTAGACAGCTACGCTTGAGGAAAGTATCTGAATCCATTAACTGTCTTTATATAGTGAGATAATACATACGCGGCACACTACGACGGTTCAAATCCACAATGGTGACGCTCAGTGCCTACCTGCGGACCACAGCTACAACTGAAGGATATACAGTACACAACATCTTGTAACGGTTGAAAAACTCATCTCAGGATATATCTGCGAACGATCAGCACACACATCTGGATTGCTGAAAAAGGATTAAAACATGTGATCATGGCTAACTGAATAACAACGCTCAGGACCTACTCCCAGAACTCGATCACAGCGATAGCAAAGACACATTAGACAAAAAATCGAAACGACTAGTCGCTCGATTAGCTACAAGATATCTACGAACTACAATTGCACAAGATAACAATGGAACACAACATTACAATGGTTAGTCAAACAGCGAGACTTGAAGGGCACCCTCGAAGCACAATCGCACAGACAGGAAACTGAATAGACGAATGATCGCGACGATTAGACGAGAGACTTGAAACAGCTTCATCAATGCACAATGGTTCATACAGAATCGTATATAACAGAACGTGTCGCCTATATGCCTGTGTCTCAGGGGCTTTCCGTGCTGGTGATACCCATCCACAAACGCTTCTTTTTTTCTGCAGACCGAAAATGCAACAGTTTTAGTCAAAAACAATCTCATAGTCGTAGAACTCACTAGACGGCAACATATACCACCTTTAAATGTGCAAGTTTCGCAGAATTGGAATATTTCATGGGACTAATAATCTCATGACTAGGTAGGTACAGTGAATAGGTATTTATTCGCAGACCATCTAGCATGAACGCGTATTGGGAGAGAAATCAGATGCTTCAGCCGCCACACACAAAGTCTTGAAGATACTGATGATCAATGAAAATTATCTAATCCTACATGCTAATTCTGGAATTTTCTCTTCTCATAGCCATATAAATATATCATACATTTGAACTCAACTATGTGAAATACAACCATCCCCTGTATGAACATCTCCAGGCTTCCTACACTGTTAGGCTTTCACCTTTAGGCTTCTTCATCTCTACAGGCACTGACTGCACCTTCTCAGAAGCCCACAAGCCTATAAACCACTAAAGACCCCCTGAAGCCCATCATACACACACTCATCTGCCTCTGCACTCCCCGGCTAAGAAACTCTTCCGAGATCCGAATCGCTTATTCTTGAAACAGTCTAAATTACTAGTGTCGCTAGTACATCAACTTGGTCTTCGACTACTGAGAAAAATTTGATGAAGATCATGTAATCTGTTAATATCGAGGCGTCATGATGCGTGCAGATGGAAAAAGTTAATCTTTTACTTGTACTAGATCATTCCAAGACTTGAGCCATGAGATGCAGGAAGATGATTCTCCGGTGTCGCGGTAGAAGGGCGGAGAATGTCGGAGAGCGGAAGCGAGTAGAGGAAGATATTCGAGGTGGAGAGTAGATGCGGAGAGTAGAGAGCAGACAGTAGAGGATAGCAGGCAGATAGTAGAGGCAAAGAGTAGATTTCTAATAATAAGTAGAAACATAATAGGTAACACACCGATTACAAATATGAACACAGAGCCAAATCGACGATACACACATCATCAAATTCATCAACAACGCAGACTCAGTTGACCGATTTGAAAGAATTTGCTTTTGATATTCAATTTGATACAACTTCTCACCCGTATACTAACAGTAATCATCCTCTACAAGCAATAACCGTAACCATATACTTCAGGGCTCGAGTCTGTCTGCTAAAATTCAAATCCCAGGGGGTGGGGGTGGCACACATGACTTGTTCTTATTCCCGACAAGGGGGCATGGATTTTTTCCCGACTTTTACTAAACTTGGTGTGTACACACATATACAACTGCGAGAAAAAAATTCTGCAATCTATCTGCAAAAGGAACATATTCAAAACATGTAGAATATCAAAGTTAAACGAAAGGATGACATTCAATCAAGCGACAATTCTATTTGAGCGAAAATGAGCAATGGTTCAAAAGCTGGTTGTTTGTAATTTTCTACCTAAAACTGCCATTATTCTATCAAACTATTTACGAAATTACAGCCTGGAGCACCGTTTTGTTCTGCCTTTTCGAACATGGAAACTGATCAAAAGTCGCGGATTTTGCGGTCGATTGTTCTCGCTTATAACACTTGGCAACACTGCAGTGTCCGATTTCATGATTGACGAGCTTGATTGTATTTATTCGCTATCCGAATCCAACTGCATTGTGAGATGCACACTGCCATCTGAATCAGAATCCGACTCTTCAGCATCATCGTAGCCCATAGCAGTATCCGTATTCATTGTACGCTGATCTAAAGGTTGAGGGTTGGTAAATCTAGCGCCTGGAATTTCTGAAGACATGGCAGATTGTTCAAATCCGGATTGACTTGGCAGATCTTCTCGGACACCGGCATTCAATCCAGCACCGAAGTTTTCTCTCAGCGGGGTCGGAAATTCGTTATCTGAAGTCGACTGAAGATTTTGTGCATCAATATTTTTTGGGCTGACAACGACATCATCAGTGCTATCCATAATATCATCTTCGGCATCGAAACCCTCTGGAAGATCATCGAGTACTGCGGCGGTATGTCCAGCAGGTATGATCGGCATGCGGGGGCGTAGAAGAATTTCCACACAATCATCATCTGGAAATTCCCTCGTAATATGTGGAAGTATACTCGACAATGCTTTTCCGTTCTTTCCGACAAATGGGTTGAGTATGCTTGCTAACATTGCTTCCTTATTTCGTCCGAGGATAGCGGTTCGCTCGAGTTGAGAACGCATCGATATATCAAGATATGCCTGGGGAAGGCTGGATAGTAATACAGGCAAAAGAGAACTGGCCGCCGCGACAACTTCTGGGTCAACAACAACCGTTGTCGATATGGAGCCGCGAAGTAAAGTATCTGCATTCTGACTTGACGAACCTTTAGGTTGAGACTTACTGGCTTCAGGGTTGCTGATGCCCGAATAACTTGTCTCCAGATCTTTACAGCATGCTCGCATTATTGGTACAAGTTTTGAGACACGTGGTTTATCTAAGCTTTGACTGAGCAACGGCAGAATATTACAGGCTAAAGAATATGCCGATGCACGAAAGTCTTGATGGTTCTTTCCAGACGAAAAGGACCACATCAGCAAGTCGAGACTTCCCTGGGCCAGAGAGACGAAACTTTGTCCTATCGTGGCCGACATAGTGCTGATAAGATGCAATACGGAAACAAAAACATTTGGTAAGCCAGCCCATAATCCATCTTTTTCATCACGGTCAATGGCAGGGTGCAACCTCACACTTCCGGAATTCGAGTCCGTAGGCGATGGCAAAGAAATCGACAAAATCCTGGTGATTAAATCGAAAATGGGTCCAACCGGGATTGTGACAGCCGAAGGAGTGGCTTCTCTGAGGTATTCATCCAGAAATTCCAGTAAACCTACTAACCTCTCAATGCCGGCATCAATACCAGTCCAGCGGGGTAAATCCTCAGGAGTTCGCGCGCCACCAGAGAGCTCTTCATTAACATTTACAGGTTCAGCAGTATATCCAGCAGTTGATTCCCAGTCTTCCACGACAGCTCGGAAAACCTGGTCGGCAGTCATGTGAATATTTTGCACAAGATCCCGAACTGCTTTTCCCCATTCTTCTCCCCCACCATTCTTCGCGACTGTCTGGTGCAGAACGACTGTTAGTTTACGAGCACTCTCCTTTACTGATAACGGAACGTAACTCCGATCACAAAGGGTGCATGCTAAATATGGTCTGGTGGCAGCACGTATTTGGGATGCGAAAGGGCGGAAAATGGTAGTGTGACGAGGCAGTAACATAGCAAATGAGCAGAAAACTGTCTCTACTGATGATGGAGTTACATCCAAGGTGTTCATCGATGGCTTCGATGAGATTAAATTCAAGCAAGACGTTACAAAGGTGGGTAATGTCGGCGTAGTGATTTCTCTGACCAGGGTTTGGTATTGATGGGTCAAGGAGTAAATCTTGGCAAGGGCTACAATACTCAGCTCTTTGGCAGCACTTGAGTCTGGTTTCTAATATAATAATTAGTATTTACATATAATATGGCACCCATAAATGGTAGGAATAGTTTTCACACATACACCAAGGATTGAGAGTAATCCTCGCACCCAAGATCCCGCGTCGCGCAAAATTTCCCAACCTCCAACTTCGACCACGACCTTGATCAAGGCGATAGCAGCGAATCTTCCGGAGGCGCTCTTGCCATTCAATAACGTTGTCAATTGGGTCTTTAATTTGTGGACCAGAACTGCCGACTGCGATGCATCCGCCTTTCCAGAATTTACACTGGGGGCTGAAAGAGGAATTTGGCATTGAAGAACATATTGAACCAGAGAAGGTACGAGACTTGGAAGGTCATTTGGAGGAGTGGACGTCAGACGCAAGCAAAGAATGCGAAGCTCAGATGGGACAGACATCTTATGAACTTTTGGATCCCAATTTTCCCTGTTTGGATGTTGTGAAAACCCTGAGAAAAGAATTTTATATTTCACCAGAGACCCTTAGTCTTGATTGGAATAATTGAAGATCTCTTCAGGGTAAGTGAATGGTTGCGAGGGGTAGAGAATACGAAATTTAAAAGAAACTCAATTCAATGTAATATATCACGGTTGAGACTGGAAAAAACTGTTTCATATGAAAATGTCCAGTCCAAAAGAAAATGCGGGAGAACTCCACTCTGGTTGGCCGGCGAAGGTGGAGCTAGACTCGCACTTGAGCCATAGTGAAGCCACAGTAGAGCCACAGATGGCTGGTGACCAGTGTGCTCAGCCTTGTCTGATGCTGTCAGCCACTCATCACGTGATACGGCACATTGCTGTCGACCATTGGAAGATACCTAGTACTTTAGTGCGGGTATGTGCCAACACGCAGCCTCGCGCCCGGATTTATATTATTCCGCTACTGGACGCCAAGAAATGTGAGAACTGGATTTCTGGAAAACCCCCTTGAGATCAAGACGGGGAGTGAAGACCAAAGCTTAGAAAATGGTTCGTATCCATGGATTGATTCAAGACCCAAATACTCCGTACGCAGTAAATTGAAGACCCAATCTATTGTCTATTGGTAATTAAGCTGACGAAGTATTGAACCATTCAATCGGTTTACCATTCTCCTAGATCACTTAATTTCACCATAAATTCTAATTTCTTCCAATTCCACAATTCCATTTGTGCTTGGCTGCTCTTCTTGTGACCTCCTTGAGCATGCTGTCATTCGGTTCAACGTGTTAACCATCTCCCTTCCTTTTTACATATACATATACCTACTGCATACCCAGTAACCAATATTACATGCGACCATGAGTGTAAGTCGAGATTTGTTGATAGGATACAGCACTTGATACATTTGCTTACATACTTTAGCGTGAACAAACCAAAGCGGCCCATTATATTCAGCTCCTGGACACGGCTCGTTGCGAAGGTAATTGGGATGCTGTGCCAGAACTTGTTAGGAAGGTTAGGAAACATGCGCCTTCGCGGATATGTATGTTTACATGCTACTACTAGAATAGATGTTCTATTCTAAGACTTCTTGCACTGATCTTCGACATTAACCGGTTTCAATAGGCCTCACGTTGACCGCAGAGACTGAACATGCAGTTACACAACATTGTCTTAAAACATTGACCTCTGCCACGCGGCCATCGACAGCTGGTTCTACCTCCTCAGATCTGTCCAGATATATACCGCCACTCTTAGAAGCTATATCAAACGAACGACAACATGTTGAAGATGAATTCCAGGCGCAAGTTTGTGTTGGCTGGATACATTGGCATATTGGGGAACATGCCCTGGCAGCTTCGAGTTTACCTGACAGTATAGAAGCGGAATTTTCTCAACTTGATGGGACGAACAAAGAATCGAACGAATGGACGAAAGTGTGTGCACTCAAGGCGTCGTTTATCAAAGGGGATTCGCAACGGAGGACTGGACATTTGGCAGAAGCATTGGAAACCTTTGATTCCGCTCTGCCAATATTGGCGAGCGTATCATCTTCACCGCCATCGGCCGGCCGAAAGGAATTGAACACTTGGATTGAAGAATTATTGGCAGGATCTTGCATGCTCTCAAGTCATGCTATCAAAACAAAAATTTCCCCAACACTCGAGACCGAAACATTATCAGCATTTCGTGCATGGGCAAGATTTTGGGAATGGGCTCCAACGAAGCCACTAGGTCGCGCACTGCATGCTGAAACCTCAAGGCGACAGGTATGGAAAGAATACTACATCACATTATCGGACATACTCCAGCAACACCTGCCATTTCCCACAACAGATCTTACTACCGCATATCCCGAGTCGTCATCGAAACCACAGCAACGAGCGGAATTGAAACAAGTGGAAGCTCGCTACGAGGAATTGCTTCTGAGTGAAGTACAGTTTCCGAAGGCGGAAGAACCGAGTGAGGAAGTCGAAGCATTTGTTGAACTAGTGATGCAAAACTGGAGAGTTTTATGCGGGAATACATGGCAAGAACATGAACTCGGCGAAGGAGGGGCGGAGGCAATTAGTAGAAGTGTTTTGAACATTCTGTACAACGCCGCAACTAAAACGTTCCATTCAACGCCAATTTTGCGACATTTATTCACCGTTCATGTAGCGGTCGCGGAGTTTGATTTAGCGTTTAAAGCATTCGATACTTATTTGGAGATTGTGAAAAGAGGAAAAGCTCGAGTGGAGAAAACTGGGGAGTTGGAACACGGTCTAGATGACGACGAAACAGTTTTGAAAACGGCTGCCGAGTGCATCAGAGCTTTATGTCGATATGGCTCAAGACAAGGCGCAGAGAAGGCTAAAGACCTTGGCCAATTTTTCGAGGAGTGGCTAACTAAACACTATCCTGTCGAACAGCCACATGAAACCGAGAAACTGCTTGATAATGGCACCTCGCCTGTTTCAAGCACTCCTATATCACCAAATACATTTGCCGTTGCTTGGCGGTCAATCGGAATCGGCTATGCACAATGGGCACGCTTAACTTTCGATTCGTCTTCGAGAGGGGCCATTCAAGTGAAGGCTATAAAATGCTTCCGCCGGGCTCTCCTCCCCGAGTATAAGAGTACCGCAGATGTAGAAACCCTTTTTGCATTGGGCACAATCCTTGCAGAACGCAGAGAGCTATCGACAGCGATCGAGGTTGTGAAAATTGGGCTTGCTCCTCTGCGCTCCAATTTGCAAAATGGACATGGCTCTTCCGTTGCAGCCAGATTCTCAAGAGAAAGATCTCTGATACCGTTATGGCATCTTATGGCTTTACTGCTGAGCGCAAGACAAGATTTTATGACAGCAGCAAGATCTTGTGAAGGCGTCTTTGACCAATTCGGGGATTCAAAAAATTTATATGGAGCATCTGACCTTGACGGTTCATTCAGAAGCGAGCACCTGAATTCCAACGAAAACCTTACGCAGCAGAATCGAGGCTTAGTAGATGAAATGGATGATTTTGAAAAAGCAAATCTTTTGGAGGTAAAGATGACTCAATTGTCTCTTATAGAAGTCCTTGAGGGCTCCGAGGTTGCAGTTAACTGTAGTGATGAGCTTTTGACTCTATATACAAGACTGTTCGGTGATCCTTCTAAAGAAACTGCCACTGCAGTAGTTCAAAGTGCTACGCTGGTGCCCCCCAAAAGTTCCGCAGGAACCCTTAGAAGCATGAAAGGAAGTATATTTGGACGAACTCTGAATAGGTCAATGCGAAAGGATATGGTAGCTTCGATGGAACAGAGCACAATCTCTCAACGACCAGACAACACACATGCCACGATCAATAGAGCACCAACTATTCAAGTCACGCATGAAAACGGTACAGCTGGAAGACATCACCGCAGACGCTCTGGAGATCATCATGAAAAGCTGCACAAAAAATCAAGTGTCAGAAATCCTTCTCAAGAGCCGAACAGAAGTGTGAGCGTAGGAATGACCGACGGCACTGCGAGGGAGATGGATCTACAGAATCGAGAGGATCATTCGGAACAAGGCTCAAAACCACTACCACCAACCTCACAGCAGATGGAACACAAGGAGCCGGTTCTTAAACCAGTGGGCTCCAATCACATTGTTCAAGACAGTCGCCTTCCAATTACACATTTATCATCACTCAGCCCCACAACACGATTCTCGAAAGATTCCGAGAGGCGGCGGAGAATATCAACATTAGTCAAAGTATGGTTATTGATTGCCGGATTTTATCGGCGAGCAACCATGTATGAAGACGCTAAAGGTGCAATCGAAGAGGCCCATAAATTAGTGCACGGCTTAGAAATAGATATCATCAATGACCCAACAGGCCTCGCGTCATTCGATCATTCTGGTTGGGGAGGTGGAAAGAGTGTGGCTGAATTATGGGGCGACGTTTTCTCGGAGGTACGTATGCTCGAGGATTGCATAGAATCATGCTAACATTTTTTAAAGCGTGGCTATCTCTCTGTAGATCAATCTTCTCCATATACGGCACTTGAAAATTTCGAGACTGCTTTAACTCACTTTGCTGACCACCCTGGCGCAATCGTTGGGCTTTCCGATATCCTACTAGATATATACACAGAAGATCTTCTACCTCTTCCCACCATGCCAGCTTTAGTTCTTCCCACGTTATCTGCCAGTACTCCCTCGGCATCTACCCTCAATACCTTAGCGCAATCCCAACCACATCAGCCAACGCTTCCCTTTCCCACGAGCGGACCCCTTGGTCTTCCCCTTCCTACTCCTCCGAACCAAGACATGCTAGCTGCTTCGAAAACTAATCGAGCCGATAAACTCGATAGACTTGCAGCTCGGGATCGTGCATATGGACTTTTATCCGGTCTAACAAAATTAGGTTCAGGTTGGAACTATTCAGAAGCTTGGTATTCGTTAGCCAGAGCATATGAACTAGGAGGACAGAAGGATAAAGCGAGGGAGGTACTTTGGTGGTGTGTAGAGTTGGAGGAAGGTAGAGGATTGAGAAGCTGGGATGTGGTTAGCAGTGGTGGTTATATTCTTTAATTAATTATTAGATGGGTTGGAGATGCGAGTAGTGCGATTTTTAGACTTCGGACGATAGAGGGTTTGGTTATACATATCGGACAGAAGCCTTGGTGGGATATAAATAATGCAGACTTAAATTAACATTATTGAAATATTGGCCCGATATTTAATTGGATTTGCAATAAGTGTTGAATTGCATGGATAGGTATATCGATACTCTTGTCTACATAACCTATTCTATTTTAAGAGTAATCTAACAATTCGTCGTACTTTTCATTGTACCCTTCATTTATTTCAGATATAGCCGCTCGTCTCATCATTTTTATTGTGAAAAGCGGATAAATTTTGGGTAGCACTTTAAGGTTAGTGTTGGACGGACTTGAATCGGCAATTAGCCGCGCCCACTATTCCTCAATCACGTCGCGCAGACAAGTTAGGAACCGGCGCTTGCAATGTGGATATGTCGTGCCAGGTCCGGTGGGGATGATGGTTACAATTGTTGTCGGAAAAATTTAGTGGAAAGACGATTGTTGTTGATTGTTGGGGGATGGGAAGTGAATGTTGGAAGCTGGGTTTAGGATCTGATATGAGTGAAGCAAAATATTCAGCTTGGTTGGTACGACTAGGAGGCAGAGTAGAATTCAAGGAGAGCGATGTATTTGTGTGTGTGGAATCAATTGGATGTCTATAAGTATTCTATCTATCTTTGCCTTGAAACATGTTTGTTGGTATGTATCCGCTTGCTAACACATTTTCTAGTACTGTCTTTGAACCTCCAGGGTACAATCTAATTTCTAATTGCATGAAACGCCAAACACCCTCCATAAGCAACCTCGCTATAAAATTCAGGATCTCAAGATATTGAGCTGCGAACCAGATCACCGCCTGGGTGATGAGCAACTTTTGTAAACTTGATTTTTGACTCGTTCCTGGCTCGAACATTTCTTCTCGGTATCTGAATCTCGGGAATTCTCGCCGGAGCAGACTCAGTATGGCTTTGATGGGCCCTACTAACGTTTTCCGTCAGATCCATTTGGGAACTTCAAACGGCTGCGCTCGTCCACCTTAAGTAACCATTGATTGTCTGCTTTCTGTTTTGGTTCGCCGGCATTCTCGGTTTTGTGAAGTTTGATTTTGGGATTTTTCTCTAGTTTTTCACCAGCATTGGTGGATTTTGTAGATTTGGTTTTGGGGGTTTTCTCTTTGGGAGCGCTGCGAGTGCTGCTGTTGGTATTGTTTACGGGCATCGTTGCGGGTTGATTTGTGTGGGATTGAGATTGAATGCGCTGAGATGTGTTGAGATGAGATGGAGTGTATTGAACTCTGGTTATGATAGAGGTCGGTGTTGCTCTTGTTGTTGTTGTTGTTGTTGTTGTTGAGGGCGATGATGATGAGATATGCATTAAGACTCGAGAATCTGTACGTTATATACACTTCTTACATATGCCGACAAATCCACTTCACCAACAACAGCAACACTGATCTCCCCTCGATCGTGATCCACTCAATTCAAGGCCCCAAAAAAATGCAGTTATTTTTATCTAACTTTTATTGGATTCGGTGGATTTGGACTTTGCCATCGGTCGGACTACCGTTTACGAGGAGGACGAGGGAAGCCTCCCGGACTACAGAGACCTGATAATCGACCCGCAACCGGAAACATCGGTAGTAGAATGATTCATTACGTAGGTAGTTTAGGCAGTCGCTTTCTACTCTTCATGACAATCTCCACTTTTAGCTTACGATCAAGTGATTGTCGCCTGGATATGGATGGCGAACTTTGAAGACTGGTTTGCATTCAGTGTTTGCAATACTTTTGGTCTTTGGTGCAATTGGTCTTGTGCTTTCAGAGGGTTTAGGCTGCTTTTGCTACTTTATGTTCTATATGCATAGGAACATCCGATGGCTTGAAAAGTCATATACTATGAATTGCGATGAGAATAGGGTGGTAGTTTTTCTTTTCCGAGTCTATTAGCTATTTGGTATCCGAGTGAATCTCCTGATAGGTATCGCAGTGAGAGTGAGGATGTAGAGCGAATTCAAACACCAACCATGGACAAGAAAGATTATGGGTTCAGTATGCAGGATGATTTTAGAATCGAAACTTCTCGTCATTATCTTCCCTTATTCCTCCCCCCTTTCATCTTCCATTTCCAATCTTCTACCTATTTCCCAAGTCTTGATTCTCCTAATAAGAAATGATAGATGAAGCTGAAATAAAAAATGAAAAGTTCCCCCATCCACCTACATAACTCTGTATACTTCACCGTTCACAGCATAAAAATCCCCCTCCAATTCCATAAATCTCAAGTATTCCTCCAACCAATTCGACCCTTGAGTGAATAATGCCCGACCTGGCCGACTTTTCAAGAGGCCGACCGGCCAGCTAGGTTAGACGGGCCGAAGTCTAGACCGTGGCACAGTAAGTAGGGTCCTTGGTATAAATATAGAACCAAGCTTTCCAAGCGGATCGTGCGAGAAGGGCCAGAGGCCCAACCCTGTGACCCCATTGAAATCTATATATAGATGGTTGAAGAGGAGTTAGGTATATAAAGTATGTACTCGGCTACATTTGATGATTCTTAATTCACTATCTGATTCTTTTATTACCTTAATTTTTTGGTTCACTAATTTTTCCTATGTATTCTCCTTTGAGTTCACTTTCTGGTAAATATATACCCCTCTTTCTGTATTCACTAGTCTTGAATTTTTACCCCCCTTCTATATTCGCTATTTCATGCACATCCATATACTCTACTCCCTTCGTTGAATCTCGGTTATAGATATATCTATACCTACCTAGGTAGGTAACTCCGAATATCTCAATTTGACAGGATCACAATTAAAAACGAGTAACGAGATGATGTGAGCTTTCATGCGATTCAAGTACATCATTGTCCGCATAATTTCTATTCCCCTGTAAACTCTATAACCATGCGCTTCACCCCATAACAACCCCATCTACCTCACCATCGTCCATATTCGAACGCAAAGCAATCCGATCAAAACACACATCTTGGCTAAACACCTTGCTCTAAGCACTCATCGCTAAACATCTAGTTTCCTGAACCCAACACCCTCATATCTAACTAAACTTTCGTCTCCGTCTATGTCTCTGTCTATAAGAAGTTTGTTAACGCCTTGCAGGTAATGACTGGAGCAAGTACCTGGTCGCTTTCGAAAAGAATCATCATTCCCTCGATGCAATCTTTGAAAGCAGCCAGCAAAGCCAAAGCAGCCAATACCACAACCAATTCTAAGTTGTAAATTGCAGTTGATTTGTGCCGAATATATCTTCATTCGGATTCAGACACCAAATTCATGTCAATCTGAGTCGCTAGTAATAATCGCTTCTGAATGCTCGATACCGTGGAGACGAAATGGGTTCAAATTGAGCCGGTAGATTTGCTGACAAAGTTCATTTCCAAGTATAATGAAGGCGCCGAGGAATATGGTAGTGACTAGGTCGAGCATAGTAGGCTTTACGGCCTCGTTATTAGATGAGTTCCGTATCGATAGTTGCTTGAGATTGAAGCCAAGGACTCTAATATCTCTTCAACCTTATACCCGGAAGAAAAGACCCTTATTCGCTGGCACGGCTGAAATGGATGGTTCTTGATGCATCACACCCTTTCGGCTGTAACAGGGGTACGATTTCGTATACCTGCACTTGGATAACGAGTGCAAACTACATGGTGGTAGCACGAGTGGATGACGGTATCTGTGTATCATGACAGGTAATCTTCGTGCGAGGTTGAACAGAGTTTGTGCCGTTGATATCCACTTCAGCAACAAACATCAACACTAAGAGCACTAATCAAGAGAGAGACTCATAAGCACGCTGTGGTGCAAATATAGGATTCAAAATCTTTGTCATAGCTTCCGCGGTTGTGAACAAAACACCACCACTAAACACAGTCCGTGATAATCTCATGACTGTTCCTCTCCAAAAGGCTTTCACGCCACCATCTTTGATTATACCCATTACAGCTTGAGTGGTTGTAGTCACTTTCGAAGATTGACTCCTCGTTTTGACGGTATCAAAAGGTTGTGTTGCCAAAGTTGTGATTACGCCTGACGCTGCCCCATTCGCGAAGTTCACGACAGTATTCTGTGGAATATCTCGTACGACCTGAAAATCCTTGATAATGTTGTACGAACCCATCCTGAAAGAAGTTGCTGAAGCTTGTTTGAGAGTTGTACCAATGAAACCTCTATACAAACCTACGAATCCATCTTCTTTGAGAATGGTACGTATGCAATGCATTGTGGAATTATATTGCCTCGTGATCCTGGCATCATCGATCAGCGCCGTTTTGATCCGTTCAGTAGGTGTGACTGCAAAGATGCTGGCTGCAACTCCCGCTGCCATGCCCGCTAACATATTACGACCCGGAGATAGAACACCAGTCTCCGGATCTCGAAAAACGTTTTTGATGCTGTCATACGAAGTAAATCGTACGGCATCTTTTGCAATAGATCCAAACACTAATGCACCACATCCCTTATACAAAGCTCTGATACTTTCTTGTTTGTATACTTGTAGAACAATCTGAAATGGATTCCGTGGTAATTTATATGGGCCAGAATGCAGCTGTACTCTGGTTTTGGCAAATTCCAACGGGTATGTAAGAGCGCCTTCTACTCCTCCAGCAATTCCACCAGATAGCAAAGATACAATTGGTGGTGTCGATGCGTTTCCGTGGCCACTCATTGTAAAGGTATGTGATAATTACTGATATAGTGGGCAAAAGTTGAACGTGAAAGGGAGATCCCAAATGATTGCGCAGCCAAAGATTTTTCTCTCTTAATTATTAATAATTTAGGTTCCTTCCACCGTACCAAGGTACTGTTTCCATGACTTCAACCTATGACGTCTTAGTTTCTCGGTACTTATTTGTCAACCTCATCAGTAGATCGGCAGTCGGTACTGTGCATTCGCCTAAACTTGCCGAAGCCGACGATATTGTAAAATAATTGTTGTAGAATCATCATTTTTAAACATTTGGTGAAAGAATAATAGCAATATGGTGTCTCGATTTAGAGATGCTGGTGCCCGCTCATTGATCATCCTGACGTCAACGCAAAGCCGACAGCAATGTATACACTGTTCATCAATCAATCAAGGGCAAAAATTCTAGCTAACGGTCGCGGTATTATTTTTAGAGAAAAGCATGCGAAGTGCTCATAGTAGCAAATCCTTTCTTTCCGTTCCGAGCTGCGTCTGTCATGCATTCAGGGTGAATGCCTCCGAACTCCCCCAAGCACCTAACCTCCGCCCAAGAGCAAACGATCATCAAGCTTCCAGAAATCTCTCCTTTCTGACAATGTTGATCTCGTCTTTGAAAGCCTTAGCGGAACAAAACTTTGATACACGCTGTGAGGCAGCATCATGGATTTCTTGATTGGCCGGATTTGTTTCTTTTCTGAATCTTACATCATCCGAGGCGTTTGAATGAGCATCACTAGCTTTGTTAAAGGATGCAAGATGACTTTGAGAATCTTGCATCATTTTCTTGGCCGCTCTTAATCTATTCAGATTATCTTTAGAAGATGATGTCTCATAATCGAGCCTGTGACTATTTCCTGTTTGTCTGTTCGTTGAAAATGAGGAGCTTCCGAACAAATCAATCCCAGTAACCGATTTCACTTGAAGGTGATTCTTGCTCCTGGGACTATCTCTAGGTTCATTCTGTTGTGACTCAGAATCCACGAAGGTTCCTCCAGTTTCTTTGAGATCGTCAAGTATACGTCTGCGTTTGGCCATATGTGGAGATCTTGATTGTAGATGACGGTCAAGATTGAAGTAGGGCGACAAAGAAGTATCAGGCAAGCGCTTTCGACGACCTGAGCTTGTAACCTCTGTTGTAGGCACGGTATATCCAGGCAGATATTCAAGAATATCATCGTCATCTCGTGGTTTCCAGAACCTTGTAACTCGCTCATATGCCTGCTCTATCGCGTCGGAAACGGGAGGTTTCTTGTACCATGGATGATTTACTGCTTGAACAGCAGTCATACGTTGACCTGCGTCACTAGCCAAAAGGCCGCGCAGAAATGATCGAGCTCTCCGATGAAGATAAGACCACTTGTTTGCTACTTCTTTTTCATCGGACGAAAGAAAGTTCTTGGCAGCTTGAATTTCTTCCAGCTGGGACAATCGGCCTCGGGGAATCGAACTTTCACCAGTGAGCAAACTCCATGTCAATATTCCAAATGACCACATGTCTGCAGCTGTCGTATAGCCACGGCTTATATCAGAACCAACGATTTCGCTATTATCAATCAGTACAAGTATTTGTCAATTGTCATTTCTAAAGATATACTTACGGTGCAACGTAACCCTCTGTTCCTACTGAAGAGAAGAGTCTGCCAGTTGTTTTGTCCGTATAATTAGCAAGGCCGAAGTCTGTGAGAATGACTCGAGAGCCGATATCGGTGTTTGTAATGAGAATATTTTCCATTTTAACATCTCTATGTGCAATTCCTTTCGAGTGAAGATATTCCAGAGCCAGAGCGATCTGTCGCGTAATGAGGCGAGCATGGGCGTCTTCAAGCCTGTTGTCACAAGAATCGAAGTATGTATATAGGTCTCCTGCCGCAGCAAGCTCTGTAAACATATACAGCCTGTCGTTGGAAAGGAAGGCCCTCTCAATGCGGATAATATTTGGCTATGATTTGTTAGTCTCGGCTATCTGAATGCATATACGGTTGAATGAGTGAGCTTGTCGTAACTTACATGATTAAGTTTAGACAGTATGTCAACTTCTCGCAGGTATGATTTACTCGCCAAATCGGTATCATATTGCTGACTTAATCCTGCAGAACCATGGGAGATGGGGTGTAAACGTCTCGAGGGACTTATTTTGATTACTTTACATGCTATCTGCTTCGAGTTACCAACATTGTTGGCAAGAAAAACCTCTCCAGCAATACCGCTGCCAAGAACATGGCTGGAAATGGTGTATCGATCTTTGAAATACTACAAATATGTTAGTCAAACATGAAAGACATGCCAAAAGAAAACGATGACATGAATACCTTTATTTCCGTATCAGGCAAAGGCATATGCGATGTTGTTCTTGATCTTGGTTGGTGAAATCGAAACTTCCAATCGGGTCGGATCTCAATCAAATCACCGTCAACAAGAAGATGTCCAATTCTTTCATTGCCGACTATACCGATCAATACATTGTTCACATAGGTACCATTCCTGGATTCAAGGTCTTCGCAATAGATTGAAGGTGGGTACTCATCCAGCTTTTCCGTATCATATATGATAGTGTAGATACGAAAGTGTTGCTTGGAAACAATCACACTATCAATGGAAAAATCACTAAACTCTTAGCAGGTTACAGATCGATTGAACAAAGTACACACCATTTCGTTTCTCTTCCCACATGAAGATAGCCTTTGGCAAGAATTGGAATTGCTGCAAAATCTATGTTAGATCACGAAAGGTTGATGAGACAAGAGGCTTACGAACTGAACTCTTGACCAGTCTGTGCATGCTCATACTTGAGCGATGCGACAAGGTTGTTACTGATGTCACGACTATTCCCTCCATGAGTTCCCATTAGGGATCGATCAATGTTCTCACGGTGGTCTTGACCACTGAGCTCACGATTCAAACCCGGTGCTTCCATGGTGATTTTAAGATCTTGGTTCCAATGCTCAAAGAATGTGCGATTCACATCACCTTAGGAGAGATGATAGATATCAAGAGACAAGGTTCGTAGGAAATGGACAAAAAGGGTTCGAATGTGAATTTCTCAGTTTGATACATTACGAAATGGCCACAAGTAAATCAATAAATAGTACAGGCGGAAGTAGGTAGTAAAAGATGAAATTATGACTTATTGGCCAAATAACGCTTCATCGTAGGCCATCTTGATTATGTAACTTGAAGATTTTCTTGATGTATCGCATCGCCTTGCTTCTTTTTCACTTCTCTCGTCTTTCTTGGGAAGGAACGAAGGGAGGCAGCCACATGCAATTCCGGGTTTCACTATCACGTGACAAATGGGCATCCTTCGTCAACGAATTCCCTTCTATGCTTGGGAGACTGCGAGCCTCTGTTTAATCTCAGATCGTATACATTTCGGGGGGTCTGGTTGAAGTTCGAATGAAGATTGGGGATGATAGAAACATGTATATTAAGATTGCTTTCCATTACAACTGGTGCCAACCTTGCGACACCTAAGCCTTCCTGACGATCCTTTCCGACGACAAACTACCTAATGGTGTCATGTCAACATCTATGAGACCTCTGTTGGTTTAGTAGAAATGTATGCCAATTGCCTCAACATCTTACCGATAAGATTCTGAATGTTCATAACATCTTGTTGTGATACACTCAACATCATACAAGCCCGCATTGGAGCATCATTTGCGAACGATGATCCCCACAGGAAGATGCTACATTTTGCATGTGGTAGACTCACCGATGAACTAGGTAAATATCTTATATAAAGGAGATGGTGCTCATGGAACTTTTGATTGTTTGATAATATATGAGAGATTGAGAGTGTTGGTTCGTGACTTGCGGAATGTGATTCTCTGAATATTTACATTGATGCCAGATATTGAGAGTGTCTTGAATGTGTTATATTGGTAATTGTGTATCGAAAGTGTTCTGGATCTTTGTATTGATGTTGGAGATTGTGGGACTTTGAATATCTATACTATCGTAGTGTTAGAGATTAAGAGATTTTGAATGCTTGGAATAATGTCAAAGATTAAGAGACATGAATGTTTTTATTGATATCAAACATTGATGTTGTCGTCTGGATGAATGCGAACCTTTGAATGGAATACCTGGCAAGCTCTACGGAACGTCATATCTGGAAAGCACAGAAACATGTTAGAACCCTACACACCTACCAAGCACCCAGTACTTTTCCTCAAGTCGGGCCCGACCAGGTAAAGGAATCTATATTGGGCATCTTGGGAACGGGTGGGCAGTCATGTGACTAGCCCTAATCAGTCAAAATGCGCTAAATTAGCTCGAAAATTAAGCGAGTATCAACACCCATATTTCGAGCTTCAATCAACGGAATTGACTTCTCCTCCTCACCATCTTCATACAACTCACATTGAAAATGTAAGTTGAAATCCATCCATACTCCCTTCAATCGCTATTCAGACTGCATTCTATGCTTATCGAAAGCATTTGAATCATTGCAATCACCAAATTTCCCCTCATTTCCGCAAGAATGGATTTTACCCCTCTTTGTCTCCATTTCCATCACTTCCACATCAACAACTTCAAGTATCCATAACTGACAACCATCTTTAGGAGAGCTAAGTGGAGAAAGAAGCGCACTAGGCGCTTGAAGCGTAAGCGCCGCAAGACTCGTGCCCGATCGTAAGTTTCCACCTTCCTGTCGCTCCAGAACGAAGATTTGCTTTTGAGCGGTCTTTGTCGTGGAGACAATTTTCTTTGTTGAACATTTGCTAACCCCTCTACAGCAAGTAAACAACTCAAAACAACTCGATCTCGATACCCCTTACCTCTCCAATCATAACATCATGACCTTTTAACCTCTTGTCGAATGCGCCATTTCTCGCACCAAACGACTTCGCCTTTTTCAGCATTTCAGTATTCACCAACAAGATCGGAGTTCGCGCTTCGTTCAACGGCGGCTGAGTGTTCAAGGAAAGATCAGTTTGATGACGCGCACTTGTCAGCATGTGGTGGGAAGTTTTGGAAGGAAGCTGGATCGGTCAACAATGCAATGTCGATTTGTTCATTGAGGGTTTATGAACCAATACGTCATGGGAAAGAAGCTGCCTCTGATGCTAAAAGCCTTTATGACTACCAACCCGATAGGAATGAATAAGAAAAAAAGAAGTTCTTCTTCACTGATGTCATCTTTGCACAATGTGAAATGTCTTGAGAGTGATTGTGATTCCTATGATACTACTACTTTCGAAATGCTCGCTGTCGTATTTCGAAGCCGTTGTTGTGATGTGCTTCATGCTTCCCCGCATATAATATCAAACCCTTCCCCAGATATACCTACACAAACAAAATGGAGTGACAATTATCACCAAGCCTATCTTTCCCCGCCTCGCCCTGGATGCTACGGAATATAAAATGCCCGTTGGACTTCTCAAATTATCTTTAAATCTACTAGGTACTTACAGCTACCTACGAGCCTACTTCGATGACAGCATACTTACAAACTAGGTAATTACGAGGTAGGTATCTAGGTAGATAGGTATATATAGTAGATAAATTGACAATTGACCAAAATCATTGCGCGCGCCTCATAACTTGGATTACCTACCTTGGAAGTTTGAAAGCTCCAGCTGCATATGACCTGCTCAACACAACCCCGCTCATTGGTCAAGCCACCAGCATCTCAGCCTCGTCTGTTTTAGCAAAATGTCGGGAAAAAAGTTTCCAATTGCCGACCCATCCAAAAATTTATTTGATTTGCGACAGAACAGAAGCTTGTAGACCCGGCGCCTTCATGCAATTTGCCCAGGCTTCACTTTGATCACAAAATGGCGGATAACATTGAGAAAAGCAAGAAGCGCAAGAAGAACGCCGATGGTTCTTCAAGACCCAGCAAAAAAGTGGCAATCGAAGAAGACAGAAATGTTCAGATTTCCTTAAAGGATGGTGATGAATGGGCTCCTGTAATTGGTATGTTTCCAAGTTAAGACCAGGAGAATATTATAGTCTCAAAATGAGTTTTCAAGGTGATAAAAGGTTGACTCTTTATAGCATCCACTCCTGGACTTGCTATGCCGGCATCTATATCTCTCCAACCATTCACAAAACCTCGCAAGAATGCCCCTCAACGACCAGGACGAAGCGGAGCAATTGCTACAACAGAAGTCCTCCTCCATTCCTCAGAACATCCAAAGCTTGATTATACTGCGCGAGAGGAGGAAGCGGGTGGGTCTGATACATTATTGAAGCATTATGTTGGTGTATACGATCCAAAGACTGGAAAATTAGAGGTTATGGAAGCGCGAAAGATGGTGGTTCGTGGAAGCGTTAGAGCACATCAAGCTACGGAAGCTGAATTTGCCAAACATGTAGGTCTATTGCAAGGGAATTTCAGAGCGGATGCTAACACTACTCGCAGACTATCAGAGAGCTTCGCAATGATCTTGGAGAGACTTTCGGTACCAAGAAAGCGAAGAAAGCTATTGCTTCCGTCACCGAGAACGCCATCTCAGCAAACAGAGGCTCAAGATTACTTGCGGATGGTGCCAAGCCAGCGAAGTTGGATGCTGCAAAATCCGCAATCATTGCATCCATGGCAGAAGCCGCATCTGGCATGGCATCTAGAAAAGACCTCGAGGAGCAAGCAGATGCAGCCAAGCCACGACCAAAAGCAGACCTTACCGCGAAAGATATCAAAGATGTGTATACTGTGGACAGCCTCATTGGAAGTGACATTTTCAAGTCTGTACCGGTCTTGGAATGGGAACAATCAGTCAAAGCAAAGAAGAACATTACGACCAACTCGAGATATGTGTCGGCCAGAATCGTCTCTGCAGCTACCGCAGGCGTTAATAAGCTCAGAGTCTTACGATACCTCCTTCTTTTGTTGGATTTACACATGGCTTCTCGACCAATGCGAGGTGGAAGAATGCTGCCCAAGCGCGATGAAATGAAAACGAAGTTGGGTGACAATATACCGCAATCCGTCATTGAAGATGTACGACGCAAATACTCCGACGCTGGAGTCATGTCAAAATTCAAGTCTGATCTCCTCATCACCCACGCATGTGCTTTAGCATGTCTGGTCGATAATTATGAAGTTGATCTGTATGATCTTCAGCTGGATTTGAAATTAGAGACGAAGGAAATGACTCAATATTTCAAGGAGATTGGTGCGAGAGTTGTGGGACTTCCGGAGGCGAGGAGGAAGGCATTGGATTTGGACAAGGCGACTGCCGCACAAAGGAGGACAGCGAAGTTGAAGTTGCCGTTAGATTTCCCAAGAGTGCCATTTGGAAGGAGAGGATAGAATGAGCCGGGGGTAGACTAGGCTGCTAAGTGTTATTGGCGAAGCGGAGTAGAAAGGATATTGGTTTTAATACTGAAAATGGAGATAATGAAATCTATGGCAATTGACAATAAGGTACATTGGTTCATTTCTGTTTCTCGGTGATTCCGATAGGGGAAAGTGCTATTCTGGATTGTCAGTGGCTTCCCAACACATCCTTAACTCCTCCAAGATGGTAAGTGCAGTGTGAGCACACAAGTTACTCTTGCTTCGTGGTCGCAACTGCCGTTTTGATTTGTTTACTCTTTACTATTTCTTGTGAAAATCTTCATGATTTCTTCTTCTTCTTCTTTTTCTTCTTCTTCATACATTCTTAACCAAGAATTTTTTTACTATTTCTAGTGAAAATCTTCATGGTTTCTTCTTCTGCTTCTTCTTCTTCTTCATACATTCTTAACCAAGAATTTTGGCCCAGCATTTATATTATTTTTATCTTAAAAATGTTTAGAGAACTTTTGAAGAGGGGGCGGGATTGGTAGTTGGGGCTCTTACCGTTTGGTGCGGCTACGAAGTCGGACACTCCATCAACGCCCAGGTGGGCAAGCGAATTGGGGATGCGAGGAGTGTCTGGGCGTCGGCGCGAGCTGCTGCCACCAGGGCTCGGGGCTGCGATGACGGCGGCGGAGAGGGCCAGAGCAGAGGCGGAAATTTCCACCCTGGCGGGGCTCCTGAGTGTGCGGCGGCAAGCCACGGTAAGGTGACCCCACTGACTACTAACCCTCTCCCCAGCGTAAAAAAATCGATACTCGTATCGAGTCTGGTCCGGGTCTCTCTCTTGATCTCTCTTGATCTCGTTCTCGAAAAAATCGATACTCGTATCGAGTCTGGTCCGGATCTTTCTCTCTTGATCTTTGGAAAGTCCCAATTCCTAGGGCAGATTTGGTAAAAAACTCCATTTTATCTTTCTTCTCAATTATAATACTAATTATAGTTTATCTAGTATTAAAACATTCTCTCTCTCGACCTCTCTCTCTCTCTCGACCTCCCTCTCTCTCTCTACTTCTCTTTCTCTCTCTTTCTGTTTCTTTTATATACACACACACTCTCTCTCTCCCTCTGTCTCTCGACCTCTCGCCATCTTTCTCTCTTGATCTCTTTTTGGAAAGTACCAATTCCTAGGGCAAAATTGGTAGAGAACTCCTTTTCTCTTTCTTGTTAACTATAATACTAATCATTCTATTCGGTTTATTTAGTATCAAAGTTATCTCTCTTTCTCTTACATATACACCCACACTCTCTCAAAACCTTCAATTCTTATTTCAAGTCTGGTTGATATTTAAATATCATCTCTCTCTCGATGACCCCGAATCGAGTTAAATCTGGTACAGAGCTCCTCTCTCTCCTTTCGATAACAATACTGATTCTTCCATCAAGTTTATCTAATATCGAAATGTCCTGTTTCTCATGTTAACTCGAGTCTGCATCTCTCTCTATTCCTCCTCCTATCAAATGATAAATTCCTATATTGAGTCTCTTCGGCGTGGAACATTGCTCTTTTTCGTTTTCTTTCCTTATGAAATCAGTCCTTTCATGAAATCTACCTGGCGTTGGATATCCTTTCTCTTTCTACTTCGATCAATAATCAATTCCAAGATTAATTCTATTCCGTAATAAAACCCTTTTCTTTCCTCGCTTTCGATGGAGAAACTAATCCTCTTAGGTCTGCCTGGCGTTGGATATCATCTCTCTCTATTTCGATCAAATTCCCAACTCTCGTATTGAATTGTCCTTGGCATACCACCAGCACCAGCGCCAATTGTTCCGACTCTCTCCTTGTTCACGCTCCTTCTCACGCCCCTTCTGCTGCTTCGCCACTAGCACCAACAGCACCTCTATTTTCTATCCTGGGCAAGTATATCTCGAAATGGATGATTTTAAGCGGATAGGCCACGCATTCAATTAACATTCTTGTATCAAGTTTGCCATTCATTAAACCATTATATTCATGGTGTCTGTGTAAGGGAGATTGAAGCTTTATCTACAGTCTATGGCATTTTTATTGTTTTGCACATGAAGGAAGATGGCAGTTCTATTTGGGGTGTCTATGGTCTATATGATCTATATGGTGTTTGTAGTGTTTGTGATGGTTTGTGATGGTTTGTGGTGTTTTGTGGTGTTTTGCGGTGTTTTGTGGTGTTTTGTGGTGTTTTGTGGTGTTTTGCGGTGTTTTGTGGTGTCTGTAATCTTGGTGGTGTTGTGTAGGGGTTTGTGGTGTTTATGGTCTATATGATCTATATGGTGTTGTGTGGTCTTTTGTGGTGTTTATGGTCTACATGGTGTTTGTGGTGTTTTGTGGTCTATATGGTCTATATACAAGAAGGGAAATCGGATTTTCTGCAGTGTTTGCTCTGATGGAAGATTGGAAGGAGGAGAAGTAGATCTCCGGGGTTCTCAGGAGGAGGAACGAGGTTCATATGCAGGAGGACAACGTCAATGTGTCATGATTGGTATCTCTGTCTTTTTGAAAGAAGGGTGAGGGAATGATGGCAATTCAACTTAAAATCTCAAGGGTTTGGGATAAGCATTCCATTTTGGCGCTTGTGCCGAAACGGATAAGAGTTCAATTCATGATGTTTGGAAATGTAACGAGAGAAAAATAGTAGGGGAAAGGGACAAAGATTGGTTTATGTTGGTTGCTTTGTAGCGAGAAGGGTGGGAGTGAATTTTATGGTGCCTGTGGCAAGAAGTGTGACGTCTTTTCCCAAGAGCTGGACAATGGACACTGGAACGTGAGGTGGCGGGACTTGGTTTGAATCTTAGAGGAGCACTGATTTATGAAGGAAAGAGACCCTGAAGGAGCCGCGAAGCTCTTACATGGTGCTTCAAAGAGACGTTTGGAATAGCTGGGATGATCAAGACGACGAAAATATGACATGGCCTTTGTAATAACGGTTACGGGTGTCTTATAAATTATTGGGATTGAGGGAATGGGAGAGAAAGGAGGAAATTCTATGGTAAACAGCAGTCGGCCATCGCTGGGCCCACAGATGGAATTGCTCGATGTGGATATTTTGTCCAAGCACCCTCACCACACTACAACATACAAGCCATTGCCAGATACGGCGGATAGACAACGTTGCAAAGCTCTCGATACTACCCTGAACGTGTATATTCTCAGGTGCCTTCGCATACCATACCACGAAAAACAATACCAAAATCGGCGAGCATACGAGAACACAAGCCTCAAAACGTTGATCTCGAGACGCCAGGCACAGAACCTGAAAGTCGATATTCCAAAGCTGGTGGATGCTGGACTTGAATAATGCAACGGAATAGCTATGAGGAAATCCCATCAAGCTGCACACCAGGGCACCCTCAGCTAAATGACCCTTGCAAGGACGCAATATCTGCACAGAACATGACAACAGCAGCTTGAATGGTGTAATCCATTGACTCTCGAGCATTGTACCCTTTTTTTGAAGCAATTAGCAGTGAGGTCTTCGTCTCTCGACACCACATTTCGATCTCCAAACGATTCTAGCCCCGACTTTCGAGCAATTTCTAAAACAATACTCGTTTTGTTTCGGAGCTTCGACATGACATGCGGCGCAGTTGCTATCAATCTCAAAGTTTTTGCGACAGAATCACCCTTAACCAAACGGCTTTCACGTGTACTACTCGAGTACTATTTACTATCCGAAAGCGTCTTGGGGGGTCTCCAAACTTGAAGTGTATTACACCAACAATACTTTGCATAATTGAGTGCAACAGTTGTTAGTGCTATGCTGACACTGATCTAGTGGTAAAGCTTTTCACGGGTTGTGGGGTTGTGGGGTTGGTATGAAAAAAAAGGATAGTTGAGAACAAAACTGTTTGTAGTTAGATGATCATTTAGACACACAAATCCAAAATGCAATAACCTAAAACTCTTATTCTAGTTGTTTGACTTCTATCGGTATGCTCTAGTAGGTGATTGTGACATATAATTTGTCTTGGTTCAAACTTTAACTCATGAACTATTTCATACGCTTTTGATTCTGTATACACCCTTTTTGTCACGAAACGCACTCAATCGCGATGTACATGTTCGCACGCATGGAAACGATCATGTATACATAGCTAATATAAATGAACAGTTCTCTACTCTACCAGCGATTCGATCATAGTCTCTTACTCTTAGATTTTAAGGATATTTTGTACCCTGGTAAAAAATCATTATATTCATAAGGCTTTTGTAAAAGAATTTGTATATGACGTAGGATTTCTATATTAGTCTAGACCTAGCTCCTTCTTCTGAAGTACTGGGCAACTGTATAACATAACCTTATTAGGAGGTTCGGTAGTCAACGAATCATTAGTGCTATACCCCGCGCACTCGGAAATTTCTTCCGGCTTCAAATATTAAAATCCCGATATGCAACTCGCCGCCTACCTGATTATGATTCAACACGACCTTTCAATTCCGATAATGGGATAAGGGGGATGTTCTCTAGGTCTCACTAGTACGGTAGCTTCAAATCAAGACATACTTCAAAAGGCCTAGGCCTACCATAGAGGAGAATTCTAAGTGATCTCTTTATCTTTTATATAATTAAGTATTGCTTAGTTTAAGCTAGTCTTATACTAAGATATCACCTAAACACGTTAAATACGTGACATACATCACAACTTCCAAGACTACTGACAGCTTAAAACCCAAAGAATTTCATATATATAGGTATATATAGAAAATATTCTTTCAGACTTCCTCCTCACATCTTTCTTCATACAACTTTTCCTGTCATTGAAACTTATTATATTATTGAAACCTATTATCAAATTCCTCAATTCGCTTCAGACAATCAAACAATCAATAATTAATAACTATGCCGGCACGTGTAGCATTTAGGAGAATGCTCCCCCGTGCAGGGTTTGTGGCCAGCAGTGCGGCAATCGGATTTTCAGCCAGCTACAGCAGCGATCGTGCCTTCGACTACATGATGGGCCCGACAAAACTTCGCTCCAAACGAAGTCCTTTGATGAAAGCCATTGAACCGACAGCCTTTGTCATGCTTTATCGGCATTTTAAACCAAGCTGGCAGACAATGTGTGCTATATGTGTCTACCATTGTTACAGCGGTTTTTGCCAAGGTTTTTGCACCGCCATCTTCAATGGCTGCAAAAGAGCATGGGACGAGATCAAAACAGATAACGAGGCGGCCTTGGGTATGTTTTCTTCGCATACCTAGGTACACATACATATCTTCAGTTACTGACTGATATTCTTAGAAACCAAGACCTAAAAAGCACTTGATAGTGAAGACAGCTTTGTGGAGGACACTGTATAATAGTGCGATACCTCTTGATCATCTTTAGACGACTGGAATGGGTACTGGCGTAACGTAACAGATGGGATTTTCTTTTGGGGGTTCAAGGTTGTCATTAACTTGTGGCGTTTGGACACTGGGATATACCTAGGAGGAAAATGAGGGTTAAAGCTTCCGTTTAGCATTAGTTATAGGCTTGATTTAATGAATAAATTGAATTCTTTTTAAATCGAAGTGTTATGTATTATAAATTGAATCAGAAATAATCTTAAATTGGATGTGGATGATGAATCGGATATAAAATATTGAATTGGATACAGAATGGATGCTTCAAAGCTGACTAATGCTTATTAATCTTTAAACCTGAAGGTATTTACACTTCACAAGGAGTTCAATCAGTTATAAGGTTGAACCATTCATTACGCCCCCCTGTAACCACGCCACGATGATAAACGCTACTAGAGTAAACTTTAGCTAATTCGAATTATTCTGAATTCAAAAAATGAAATGCGTTGATTCTGAAGCTCTATGGCCCTTATAAATAAGTACTACTAGCTTAATATAAATTTTATATATTACCTTACAAAAGTTATACGGTAATTGAAAGTTAATTAGGTTATTTGAAAGTTGATTAGATGATTCGAAGAGATTTGTAGGGATGTGGAGTTAAATAATCTAAATAATCTAAATAATCTAAATAATCTAAATAATCTAAATAATCTAAATAATCTAAATAATCTAAATAATCTAAATAATCTAAATAATCTAAATAATCTAAATAATCTAAATAATCTAAATAATCTAAATAATCTAAATAATCTAAATAATCTAAATAATCTGAATAATCTGAATAATCTGAATAATCTGAATAATCTGAATAATCTGAATAATCTGAATAATCTGAATAATCTGAATAATATAAAATATTAGGCGCTTCAAAACACTAGTGAACTAGCTCGCCTCGAAATTATATACCTAATCATTATTCAAATTATATAATATGCCTAACCCTATATACTTCTCTATTCTTTAAAGTATAGTTAATCAAATAAAATGTTCGTATTTAAACATTACAAGGTTCCTTGATTACATTCCAAGCGTAAGGTTCCGAGAATCATTCATGGTCTCGATTAATATAAGAAAAATAATGTACAGTGAGGCTCAAGATAGGGGAGATGAGTATCACGTGATGTCTTATTCTATATTTGGCTGGCAAGGTTATCCCCTTCAATACGAACTCAAAAGAGAAATAAAATTACAAATGTATGTGATGATCTGTGTATCTCGTATTTCCTCTCCTTTCTCAAACAATATAAAAAGTCATGTAACCCAGAAGCTGCCTTGATCGATGAATATCAATATTTTCCTTTTAATTATTTCTCTCGCTTTTTTCTCCACCGTCAATTGTTACACCATGTCCAATGCCGAGGCCTGGAAAAGACGTTCCATATACCAAGTGCTCACCGACAGATTTGCCATAGAAGATGAGAATAATCCAGATAGAGGCCCAGATCCTGGGATGAGAGAATATTGTGGTGGAACATGGAGGGGAATAATATCTAAACTTGATTATATTCAAGGAATGGGTTTCGATGCAGTTTGGATTTCACCCGTTTGTTTTCCAGCCTCATCAGTGTTCTAATTGCATTTACTAATGATTCCATACAGATCACTAAGAACATCGAAGAATTGACTGAGTATGGAGTTGCCTATCATGGTTATTGGCCAGAGGATATTTACTCAGTAAATCCACATTTTGGAACCGCTGATGATTTACTCGCCCTGTCGGATGCCTTGCACGCTAGGGGTATGTTTTTGATGGTTGATATAGTTGTCAATCATATGGGTTCGCCTCCCACAGTGGAATATTCCAGATACGTACCTTTTAATGATTCATCATACTATCATCCACAGTCATATATTACAAATTACGAAAATCAACAGGAAAGCGAGGAAGGATGGCTGGGGGATGGACATGTGCCATTGCCTGATCTAAATACGGAGGATCCTACCGTGGTACTCACCCTCCAAGCCTGGATCACAAAACTTGTACAGAAATTTAAAATTGATGGTCTGAGAATTGACACCGTCAAACATGTCAGGAAGAATTTCTGGCCCGATTTTATTCGGGCTGCTGGGGTCTGGTCGGTGGGTGAGGTATTATCAGGTGATCCCGACTACTTAAGCTCATATCAACCTTATGTTGGAGGCCTTCTGGACTACGGGACATATTATCCTCTGAAGAGAGCGTTTCATAGGGATGGCGGAAGTATGTATGAGCTGATCAATCTCCTCACTCCTGCATACCGATCGAAATTCCGCGACACGCAGCAAATGTCGACTTTCATGGAGAATCATGATATGCCACGGTTTACCAGCGACACCAACGCGGACTTGGCTGTTGTAAAGAATGCTATGGCATGGACTCTACTCACCGACGGTGTGCCAATTGTTTACTATGGACAAGAACAATCTTATTCTGGAGATGGTGATCCCGGCTCGCGAGAGCTGATGTGGAAATCCAATTATAACATCACACCGCTATACCAATACATCGCACGATTGAATCAGATCAGAAAACTGGGCTGGGACGCAGGATTTGGCACACATCTAACCACAAAACTTTACATTGAAGACAATGTTGCTGCTACGCAGAAGGGCCCCGTGCTCATGGTGCTGACCAACCTAGGTAGCCAAGCCAGATACAAGAATATCTCCATACCTACCATGTTCAAGAACGGTACCATAATAGTCGACATTCTCACGGGAGAATCTTTCAAAGTCAAACGATCGACGAATATCACCATAGTATCTGGAGAACCTCGAATTTTCCTCCCTCTTGGTCTAGCAGAGAACATCTGTGATAATATTTTACCACCAGCTCAGAGTGCCATATCTAAAATCTTCTCCAGAATGTTTGGTGGCTCTTCTTCCTCTAAAACTGCCGCCGAAATCACCGATTGGCCATATGGTGAACCGGTCAACACCGCAGATATCATACTTAGTGAAAAAGATCCGGTTGCGGAACAGGCGGGAGCCAATATTTTGATGCCGAGCGTTCAGGAGAGTTCATCTCCTTGGTCTATATTTTATGCAGCTAGATAATCAAGCGATCAGAGTATACTTTGTTTTTCGAGTCACCGAGAAATTTTAGAACAACCATCATAATTAGAAGATACCTTAGATCATTACAATTCATTCTTTTTCCATGTCTTGACAAATTGGCAGACGTTTTCTTTAGTCTTCTTACATGCATAGAACTCATGCTTACTATGTAGGCGGGCAGGAACTATAAATCCATCCTCATGAAGAGGAGCCATGTCTTTGTAGCTCTTTGCAGTTTGAGCAATCAGTATGACGATGAATTATCTACTCGGAGCCAAACAAACCCTTTTTCTCGATCATTATCCACCTCTCGACATTTGTCTCGAATTCATACCAAAAAGAAAAAGCTGATCACTTCTCATTCCAACTTTCCAGAAATCCCCACCCACTCTCCCAAGGCCAACACCTTGCCTTCCAGCAAGCCCCCAAGCTGTTCTCTCCCAACTTTCTCAGTTGCATCCAACACTCCACTCAATCCCATCACTTGAAACAATATCTATGTACACCATGTCCCAACACCGGCTTTGGGCCTTCCCCAATCGTTTTCTGGCCATCAACTCCATGATTGAAACCACACGCTAATAATTAGCTGCTGCCACCACAATCATCCTTCTTCACTTCTACGAAATCCTCCTTGCGGACTTTCAATCATGAAGGAGGAATATCGTAGTAAATAACATGAATAACCGGACTGGGTGTAGGTACATCAGAATCCTCAACCACAAGGAAAAATGAATTTATTTCCTCACAAACCTCTGAATCAGTGTTGCGGGGTTAATGGAGGTAATGAACCGACATACGGAGGGATACATACTGAGTCGGTTTGTGGAATAGATTGAGATTTCAATGCCGTACAGTACATTTATCTAACCCTAAGCCCTTGTGCAACAAACATGATGTTCAGACAAAAGGAAAAATATGAGATACACGGTGATTATCCAAGATTTAGTTTGAAATGAAAGAAATTGCATCCTGGACTTTTTCCAAAAGGCACCTATCGATCAATCTGTACCCAAAGGAAAATAATACACCAGGTACGAGACCAAAAAGGCAACAAACGAAAACATAGCCAGGAAAATCAGGACCTGTATTTTTTCAAAACGTGCCGTCCCCATCTCAGACCACAATATAACACCAAAGGCCACACTGAGGCCCAAGGTCAAATAGACGAGCGATACTTTGCATCACGTCAGCTAATTCAGCAGCACCCGATAGAAAAGACGATAGACGTACAGCCAGGAGTTAATCCAAAAACATCCCTTTCCGCCCGCTGGGGCGTTCCTCCGCCAGCGAGCTTTTTGCTGGAACTGGCTTTCGATAAACCCAGTTCCTTCATTACGTATGCGAATAACAAGGTGCCAGCCTCAACACCGAAGATCGAGCGAAACGTATCGACGTCGAAGGTTCGGAGCTCTTCTCCGCGACCATATTTCCATTGCGCGGCCAGGGTCTCGGCTTTGTCCTTGGGGACATCGTAATGATGATGAAGGATGTGAGAAATGTATTCCCGGACTGTAGATGAGGGTGCGTCGAGCGGGGGAACTGGAACTGAAGGGGCAGTGGACATTTTGAAGAAATCTTGAGAATTTGAAGTTTTTTTTTAGTTTTTTCTGCAGTAATGCGTGAGGAGTGGTGAAGAAATGCTACAAGAGCCGATGAGTGGGAGAGAAATTGCCATATTGTAGTAGGTTCTCTTTGGAGAACCGGAACACGGCAAGTTACATTATGGGTCTGAAGGCATCTCAACAGCGGGTACCAACAGTTTGCACTATGTCAGCTTGCATTGCTCCATTTAAGAAAATAAGCGTGTTGAGTCTGCAGATTCATTTCTTAAATACACGATACTCGTGCTGCCAGAAAGTATGCAGCACTCCACCTAAATATGGGCCACCAATCATCTTGTATTTTACCACCTTATGGGATATGCCTGCGAGTGGAGTGTGGCACACTTCTTTCTGGCCGCACGAGTATTAATTGGATATAAAAATTAGGAACACATTATCTGATGGATGACGAGAACCTGAGCAAGCCTAATCTGCTAACAAGGTATTCTATATTATAGAGAACGAGCTTTTCTCGGTCTTTCGTAAGTAAAAATAACAATAGCCTCGCTAGTACTCTTTATAATTCTTTTTAACACTACTTAAAACCTATACCTATATTCATACTATATCTTTCGAGATATTAAATTTAAGAATGATTTTTATTATTTAAACAGGAAGCGGGGTTGTGACGGATTGAAAGAATAGTTTACTGAACCAACTAATTAGATTAGATTATGTTGCAGGTGGCGGTCCGAATCTTCAATTCAATTGGAGTTAAAATTGATCAGTCAGTCGTGATATTACTGTGTTACTCTCTCACTAGCATGTTTTCTTTGAGTGCCAAAAAGTGTCACTGATTTCTGGAGATACATCGGCGGTTTTGGGATGATTGAACGCATGAATTTGATTGAAATCATCTTTCATTTAATATTCTGGCTCGCTTAGATACCTCATTGACAGGAGTTTCCAAGAGATTGCGCTCTTTTCCAGAAACAGCCTTGCGCTTCTTTTCACCAACATCCGATGTGCCAAATGCAGTCAATATACGAGCCATGCAAACACTTTTCCGATTATCGAAATTTTCTTGGTTCTGCTGCGTCCGAGATGCGACAAAGGAGCGAGCAGCGCTACCTAGCTTCACAAAATCATTCACCAGAGGCGAACTAAACTCAGCGCCATAGCGAAACGTATTAGCCCATTCAATCAGGTCGAACATCTGTGAGACGGGATGTTTATTGCTCTGGTGATATGACTTGGGAGTCTCGGGAGCGTCGATGGAATCAAGCGGATCGTAGAAAAATATCGCAGAACACCAGAGTCTAGTGACATTAAATCCTTCAGCATTAGATGTACGGATATAATAACCAAGAAGTGATAGCTTTCCAGCTAAACCTTTGTGCTTGTATACATTTGGGTTTTGCGTCATTGCACCTTTCAACCACTCAATCAACTTCGCCTGGAGTCCATTCAAAATTGCTAAGTCGCATGTGGATGTGGATGGCTGACTTAGTTCTCGAGAATTCAATTTAGCGAGAGATTCTTCATCCGAGCACACGTCGAAGTCTGTTGTAATGTATCTCGATTCCTCTTCAAAACCGTCCAAGTCCAGTTCGCTGACAAACGACTCTTCAACGCTGGAGAAGATGCCATGCATTACCGGTGTGGAAGTAGGGCTCACTGGAGTTTGAGTCGGTGTTTCTGCAATTACCACTTCGATGGTATCAATTGATAGCGATCCATCTTTGAGCATGACTGGTGGCGACTGAGGAACCTGCACTTCCTTTAATAATGGTGTAGGGTTTTTTGTGTATGGCGGTGGTAATGTGTCCTGTGGCGGCAATGTGTCATATCGATTTGGAGGTCCAAACATACTCCATTCCACTAACATAGCCCCTTGTTGAACGTACATTTCCTTCACGTTAGTTTTGCGTTTGGCAGTAATCAAATCCGCGTGTAATTTTTTTAAATTCACCTGCGCATAAGTACTTGGGCTGATGTATACACTGAAGATCTTCGTTTTGGATAGAGATTCAAATCTTTTGATCAAATCGCTCGAGGTACCATCTTTGGGCGTAACACTCCCAGGAGTCTTCTTCCGCTTATTCATAACGACAAAACCACTCGTAGTCAGATGGAATTCTACACACATGACAAGTCCTGATTTGCTTATGCCAGCTTGGTGAAGGGCAGAAGCGTCGAGGAAAGATAAATCATCAATGCCTGATGCCAGAAAAGGTGTGAAGGAATCTGTGAAGTTGGCGTCCGGAGGAACAACAAACAGCATCTCCATTTGTTTTCGCGCTATAGATTGCCTGATAGACACTTTGAGGGAAAAGTAGATATGAATGTGACCGTCTGTATCAGAGCTTGCTGACATAAGAAAATTAAGATTTTGGTTGTTCTGATGCGAGCAAGAGCCTAACGTGAAAGTTTCGCCTGATGATGAATCCTTCCATCTTACAAACACTCTCTCGCGAAGGAGAGGTGGTTCTTGTAGCTGAAGTCCCTTGATCGGAACCAATATGTCCTACTTCCGTGGTTATAATCAGCAATAGGTTTAGTAAAACAACAATTACATTGAAAAAACCACTAACTTTCGCAACCATGCCGGATTTAAACCAGTCGTGATTCTTGAAATAGAATGAGACGTAGGATTGATCGATGAAAGCTAATCTGTGAGTTGTGTTAAAGCTGTTCACGATAGTATAACTTATGCTAAAGAACGTAACCGCCACCACTGTACAGATAGCTTCGGGGGTTTTCTAAACAACAAGTGCTAAAGAACATAACCACCACCACTAGACTGATAGCTTCAGGGTTTTTCTAAACAACAAGTGCTAAAGAACATAACCACTACCACTATACAAATAGCTTCAGGGTTTTTCTAAACAACAAGTGCTAAAGAACATAACCACCACCACTAGACTGATAGCTTCAGGGTTTTTCTAAACAACAAGTGCTAAAGAACATAACCACTACCACTATACAAATAGCTTCAGGGTTTTTCTAAGCAACAGGTGTTAAAGAACGTAACCACTACCACTACAGATAGCTTCGGGGTTTTTCTAAAGCAACAGATGTTAAAGAACGTAACCACTACCACTATACAGATAGCTTCGGGGTTCTTCTAAACAACAGGTACTATAAGATACGATTCTTGTACACAACAAATATAGAAGCAACTTTGTTGGCTCCATTGACAGATGGCGCTTGTATTATGGTAATCGATGGACGAACGGCGATGGACGAACGGCGATGGACGAACGGCGATGGACAAATGGCGATGGACAAATGGCGTTGGACAGATGGCGATGGACAGACGCGCTTTTATTATGGTAATCGATAGATGGTGTGCGACAAAGATAAAGGGAGAGTTGAAATGGCGATGAACAAATGGCGCTTCTACATGGTAACTGATCGATGGTGTATGCGAAGGGAACAAATTGAAGGATGAAAGATGGATGCTTCTCTCCGTAATGGATTTGTAGAAGCAAATGTAGTGAAGTTGTATTTCATGTATGCTTATGTAATCTTGTGATACGCTGATGCTGGGATAGGGTTATTCCGATCCGATGACACCTAAAATATTTGGGAATATCTTCAATTCAATTTTCAATCCAGTATACATCCTTATTAAATGAATCAATGATGATACAATCGGAAAATAGTTGATTAGATTAAAGCAATTGAGGGCTTTCAGAATCTTGGGATTGAACTCTTCTAATTTGCACAGAGACGTGGACATTCAATAAGACGCTTCAGATAGTTAGCTTCAATGGTCCAATTAAACTGTGTACAAACATCTTCGATTTAGAAACTAGATCCGGGATTAAGAACATTATCGCTGGGCTACCCGATGGCTATCTAAATGAACCGCTGCTTTCGCCATTTTCATCCTCTCAGCTACCCTCTGCCACGGCTCAACCAATTTCTCCGCGCTATTCTAGTGTATCGTCTTATGTATTCCTGGCCCACACACCGAAGGCTCAAGTACGAGTTTCTCTGGCCGCATGATTCCAGTTTGAGCACCGGTTAGAAGAGATTCTGCCTCAGGGTAACGTGATTCCAAGGCATTGGTGCAGACCTGCTCCGAATCTACAAGATTGAAGAGATACAGAAGCATGTTCATGTTTGCAGCTGATCAAGCACCAGCAGTCTTGGGTAGAGATGGTATAAGATCCAATATATTCCCAACGACTTGATGTTCAGGCAGAACTCGGTCTTGATCTCCAAATAATACGTGGCCGATAGCTTCAGATTCTGGAATGGCATCTGCTCCGTAAGAGGTAGCTAGATGCACACCATCTCGACATAAAGCTTGTAAATCTTGGTCAATACAGGTACTAATTCCGATAACGTTTCGAAGATCGTTAGAAGGTCCACTGAATGGTGTCGATGTAAACAGTCGAATCAATTGCTGGTATTGTGAATGATGTAAAAGGCCAAAATGCATGAACCAGAAGTTACCGATGGAAGCCCCAAGGGAAAATATCTCACGCTGTGTAGCCATGTTAATGAACGCAAATCTCCGAGTTTTATTCACGGACAGGAGATACAAGCTTACGATGACAAAGATGTGTGAATCAGCTTCGGTTAGTGCTGCGATCCTCAGAGAGTTTTGTGGCAGCAGCGGGGGTAAGCCTATCGCCAAATGTTGGCTAGTATCGGGGAAGTGCTTTCACTCGAGACGGATGATTTGGGCATCTAGCAACTCTGAAAGTTCTTCAGCAGGGCCAAGATCGATCGTAATGTATTAAACTGCACTTTAGAATGTCGTACGGACGTTGTTTGAACAAGCAGGAACCTCTATATAAATGATTCTATACAAATGATAGAAATTTTTGAAAAACGTATGCATCTGCGGCGTCGTAGATTCGGCATCTAAATGACAGTGAAAAGCTCGCCGTCACCCTTTACGGTAGCTTGTACATCATGTTTCGCGCCGCAGGAATGCATGAGAAAACCTCGTTGGCTTTCTTGGCTTCTAAAGCTGTCAGTCAATCGTCAACGGACGGCAAGCCATCATTTCCCAACAGCGGATCACCACTCGTATGCTGTGATTGTGGTAATTGAACAGACACTCACCATTTGCTTCATATTTCCATTCACTCTCAATAGCTCATCATGGAGCTCATGAGTAGTCCTTTCACCAATGATTACTTGTTCAGGGTGAATTTTACACATCGGATTTGGCCACTCAAGTCCTTGAGCACCCTACTTTCCTGCCTCATTCTGGCACAGAAAAGGTGTTCTAATTGATTTGAGCTGCAAAGTATACATGATTCAATGTATTGAAGATTTCGAGTCCGGATGACTCATTCTCCGGGTTCCGTCTCAACGAGCCGCAGCATGTGAATATCAGCTTTGTGAATAATATAAATATATTTAATTTGCTAGAAGAATTAGAGTTTTGCTAATACATTGAATTGACACATCAAATCTAAATACCAACAAAATTAGTTGTTGCATTGGGAAACAACCTTTCGCCCTTGAAGTTTTGAACCATGTCATCATCAATAGCATCGTCCCTTGCGGCCACAACGAAGTCCCCCAAGACCAATTCTCTGTTATTGCTCTTGCAGATGTCTGATATAGAGTTGGACAATCAAATAAAGGACAATAGTAAATGGAAGAAGCGGTCAGAAGAGACCACTCTCGATGTCCATTTCCCGGATCTAGACAATGCGTCCTTGGAAGCCACCAATCTCATACTTATTGGATCCAGTATGCTCGAACGGTTCAAAACAACTGGCCACGACCTCAATTTAGGTTCAAAGCCAGGAATTTTCAACGCCGGGGTAGGAGGCGATACAATCCCCAACGTACTTTACCGCATAAATCTAGGCCTCCTCCGGAAAGCCAAGACCCAAGAGAAAGTGGGAATGGTTATTGTCAATATCGGTTCTAATGATTTGAAAAAACCCGGTCGAAGCTTGACCGAAGCTCAACTTTACCAATTCGCTCTTCACTTGGAGGCATTGAGAAGAACATTCCCCCGAGCACGAATCGTGGTTACGGCATTATTTTACAAGAAAGACGTCCACCTGTCAGATGTTGATAGAAGTAACGAGGATCTACAAAGCATAGTCTCTGGATTGCCTCGTGTAGAGTGGCTAGCAGCACCGGAAATCGATCTTGACGACCATTATGAGGATCACGTTCACTTGAACAGAGCCGGTTATGAAGTATGGAATAAATGGCTGGTGGAAAAACTTGAGATTTAGCAACGGCGATGGATAGATAGTATTCGAGGAGAAGCTTTTCAACACGAGGTCTTGGGCAAATGACCACTATACGACTTCTACCGCTAATGTATCGGTGATCACTGTAACTTGCAGTAGACCGCCAACCTTGTCGGGTCGGTGCCTTGAACGGGAGCTCAATAGAGACTTCCGAACAATGCCAAGAGGAATTGCTCTCGAATTTCCAGTCTGAGGAAGTACTGCTCCGTTGTCCGTATATGTTTAGTAAAAACCACATGACATGATCCACCTTCCACCTTCCACTTTCCGTCTTCCACTTTCCCTCTTCCATCTTCTATCTTCCATCTCCATCTACAGACGACTGCGCTCCTAGAATAGGTTTAGACTTGAGGTACAGCTTTAAAATCTTGACGTTTGCGGTTGATGGAAAGGAGACTGTGGGGGTTTCAATCCATATTGGGTTATTTCCAAAGCGGTTGTGGCCAAGGCGGCGCTTGAAGTGATCATACTCCGTTATAATTTCCGATTCTTGTTAAGCGTGTTTCAATTTTCAGAAACCCCTGAATTAACGATTCGCGATTGGCTATCAACGTGCACAAAGGGGCAATGGAAACAACAAAACCTTAAAAAATTCAATCTATCTGAGAATATGAGATGAAATTACACGCTTGGCTTTCTTGGTACTTGAAAGCGTCATTTCTCCATCTTTTCTTTTGGGTCTCAGATGAAGTCACTAGATTTCGGAAAATACAGAAAGTATATCGTAAGAAAGTATATCGTTCGAAAGTATATCGTTCGAAAGTATATCGTTCGAACGTTAAGCAATTGGGGATATAAACTTCTTGAAAGAGTGCTTAGTGTCGCTTGTCCCGCAAAGTATGCGCGTATCCGTCTTTAGGTTACAATCTAGTCGTTGAACTCTGCGAGTGCCAATTCAATCACTCATCTCGTTCGTCCGTTTACTCGCCAAGAATTTGCATACACCGAAGTTACGGGTGCTAGTATAGGCGTCTTGGCTATCGTGCGAGTGTCCACGATACCCAGAAATATCCCCAAAAATTCGAGAGTGAGATGCAGGGACTATGCTCTTGGCCCTTTGCAATTGCAGTGAACAATCTCAGAATTCGCCATTTGCATTGGTCTTCCCGTCTTCGTCTACTCCATTTTCAAGCGTTTATTCTGCATAGCCACCTTGTTTGTCGTCTTGGCTATCATTCTACTCTTCTATGCAACGAATTCTTCGTTTACCCGTGGATCTTCCATCATCAAAATGCTTGGATTATTTATCGAAAACTGTTGGGTGAGAATTAAGGAGAACTTCTAGATCCTCCTTTGCGTTGGGTCAATTCCATGGGACCGTTAATCGGATGAACTTGGCAATATAAACAAATAACCTCAGCAGCAACCATTCTACTATAAAGATGAAGATGAATCCCACGATCTAACATCATCACTTCCATCATTCACTTCCACATTCATTACATTCACTAAACACATTACATTCTTTTAACGGGCAAGTTCCATTTTCACTCTTTCAATATGAAGTTCTCAATTGTTTCTGCTGGTCTTTTGGCCGCATTCGCCACTGCTGCTCCAACCCCAACCTCCGACGAGATTGTCAACCGCGCTGCCATCGCTAAGCGCGCCACTGTTACCGACGCCTGCAACATTGGTTACGCCAGTACCAACGGTGGTACCAAGGGAGGAGCTGGAGGAGCCACCACCACTGTTTCCACCTATGCTCAATTCACCAAGGCTGCCACTGCCGGTAACACCGTCGTTGTCGTTTCCGCTCCTATCACCCAAGCTGCCAAACAAGTCAAGGTTGCCAGTGACACCACCATCATCGGTAAAAACTCCAAGGTCGTTTTCACTGGTTTCGGATTGTATGAGCTCCCCTCCCTCTATTCTCACTTGCAATTATCTAATCTTATCTCATCAGACTCGTCAAGGAACAATCCAACGTTATCATCCGTAACATTGCCATCAAGGAGGTTCTTGCCGCCAACGGTGATGCTCTCGGAATCCGTAGGTTCTCCAATTTTGCTTATATAACCACTTCAACACAGCAGACTGACCTCTCTAGAAAAATCTACCAACGTCTGGGTTGACCACGTTGATCTCTCCTCCAACAGAGATCACGACAAAGACTACTATGATGGTCTCTTCGACGTAACCCACGCTTCTGACTACGTCACTCTCTCCAACTCCTTCATCCACGACCACTGGAAGGCATCCCTCGTCGGTCACTCCGATTCCAACTCCGCTGAAGACAAGGGACATCTCCGCGTCACCTATGCCAACAACTACTGGAAGAACGTCAACTCCCGTGGTCCATCTATTCGTTTCGGTACTGCTCACATCTACAACTCTTACCATGACACTGTTGCCGACGGAATCAACACCCGTCTTGGTGCTCAAGTTCTTGTCGAATCTAACGCCTGGACTGGATCCAAGAAGCCTTTGTACTCTACCGATGCTGGTTACGCTGTTGCCAACGACAACGACTTTGGCTCTGGATCCAACGAAGCTGAGAAGGGTACCTTGTCTGCCAGCAAGTTGGGATACAAGTACACTCTTTTGGGCAGCAGCAAGGTTAAGGCCGCTGTTGTTGGAACTGCAGGTGTTACTTTGTCTTTCTAGATTGAGAGTCGGCAGTACTCTTGATTCTTCTTGGGTGATATGAGCACTTGAGAGGAACGGGGCAGAGATAGTACAGGGTACTTTTAGATTCTTGGTGTATATAAATTTTTTGGTCAGAGACCGTATATATAGATGTGAATAGACGGCTCTAGTAGCTAGTCAATGGAAGATTTTCACTCATCTACTTTCCCGTTGCAATTTTCGTGATTCTCTTTTAATCTTCAATGTTGTAATGCTCTGTTATATATTCGGTTTTGAATCGAACACAGCAAACATACTTTCTGCCTCTACTTAGAAGAAAAAAGAGGCCAAAATTTGTCACTTTATTAAATTTTACAATAAATCAATTAATAATAAATTACAAAAGTTAAACGTTTATTAATTCTCTAAATTAAAATGAAATACTTGGGTTGTTAAAGGGCTTTGCTAATAGTTAATTGCGGTTTGTTTTTTCTCCTATGAAGAGCCTGTTCAACTAGAAAGAGAAGCGAATTTTAGACGAATGAGGATTGGGATTTTCTTGGGCGTTTTATCATCTGATTCTTTCGGATGTAAATATTGTGAGAGAGTGTTAGAATCGAGGACGAATAGAGCGAGAACACTATGAGTGCATGGCATTCAATCGCATAGGGGACGGTAAGATTCGTGAGTTGTATGTGATTGAATCACCAGTGGGCGCATGAATTGACGGGACACTTCCCAACTTTCGAAATTTCTAATAAATTCATTCTGTAATTGTTTGATATTAACACTCGTGATTTGATTGCTTCAAATTTAATAGATGACTGTAACAATTTCCAAGATATCTAATTCGATATATCAAGAGAAATTCACAAGTCCATTTTTATAGTGTCCCGTCCACACCCACTAGTGGATGGCCAGAATATATTATAATTCGCGATAGAAGCGGCAAACGACCCATTAATAAAGCAGTCTGAAATAAAAGAGAATACAGTCATCCAGCCAACAAAACCGAAGAAAAAAATCCCATCATGTTTTCCATAATTAGCGCTCTCAGTAAAATTGATATCTATCGCACAAAAATAATGCTAACAGTTACTTGTGAGTCCACTCGGCCTTCTTTTTCTCCGCAAAAGCCTTCATTCCGATCTTTTGATCTTCACTTCCAAATAAGCTGTGGAAAACTCTTCTCTCATACTCTACACCGTCTCTGAGTGGTAAGTCTTGACTCTTGTTGACAACTTCCTTCGCAGCCTGCACTGCTACCTTACTGTACCCTGCAATTGTCTCGGCAGTACCTAGCGCAGCTTCAATGAGCTCCTCCCAGCTTCCATATGTCCTTGCCGCAACTCCCCATTCTCCAGCTTCTTTGCCACTAAAGTTCTTGCCGGTCAATATAAGCTCCATAGCTCTAGATTTTCCAATCGCCCTTGTAAGTCTTTGACTTCCACCAGCTCCAGGAATCGTCCCAAGTTTAATTTCTGGTTGCCCAAAGTTTGCCTTCTCTGTGCAGTACAATACATCGCACATTAGAGCCAGTTCACAGCCTCCTCCTAGCGCATGCCCTGATACGGCTGCAATAATAGGCTTCTTGATGGCGGTTGTGAGATCTGACCAAGATTCTATGAAAGAGTTTGTATAGGCTTCAGAGAAGGTAAGCGGTGCCATCTCTTTGATATCCGCACCAGCTGCAAAGGCTCTTTCAGATCCGGTAAGAACAATCGCAGATATGGACGGAGATTTATCGAATGCTTTAAGTGCATCGTTGAGTTCGTTTATGAGTGGTGTAGATAATGCATTGAGTGCTTTGGGTCGGTTTAATGTTACTTTGACAAATGTTAGTAAAGACTTTTTTTAGAGAAGGCAGGGTAGAACAAAGTACTTTGTCCAACACCAGGTCTTGGTTCTGAAGTTTGTATGAACTCGTAGGATTTGGCTGAGTAGGCTCGTGAAAGTGCGGGGAGAGTTGAAGCTGTGAATCGCGAGGCAAGGGGCCTCAATGCTCTAATTGAATACATGACTTATTGAGATGTAGAATATCGTAAAGGTAGGTAGACTTTGACCCCGATCGTATGAAGCTGTTACTTTAGATCATTAAGTAGAGATTCACGAATTCCAATGTCTTGAATATCAAAAGCAGCTTGTGTCCGTTTCTACTGAACTCATTTCTGGCAATTCGGGTACAACCGATTATCCTCGGGAACTCAGAGCTTAACCCCCGAGTCCCTCAAAGAAGACCCATCGTCCCGCATGATTAAGTATCACGTGAAAATAGCTACATGCGCGCCACAATCTAAGCCACGACGCTTTCCACCTGGGCACGGGGCGATGCTATTAAAACAGGTGGTCTCGAATTTCAAAAGTTCAAACTCCAACTACCTTCCGCGCCTACCACCAAACGTCGCTCATTTCAACTCTAACTTCTTCGACAAGAGTTATTACACCTGCACAAATTCTATACGCTTTCGACACAAGGACACGCAATTCAATATGGATTCGATAGAACCAGAACAAACCCCTTTCGCGGCTGTGAGCGCGCAGACTTCAAAGATAGGACGTGTAAGTTTGTTCATAGATGCGATTTGTTGAATCGCATCATTTGGAAAGGACATATAGACTAATTCGAAGTAAATAGCAATACCAAGCTTGGTTAGATAAATCAACACCATATGTTCCTTACAGATGGTTGGCTACATTCGGGCTTCTTATGATATTCTTCATTCGCATATTCGTTGCACAAGGGTGGTATATTGGTATGTTGACTCTTGGTCGCTTTGCGCGTTCTCAACTTATACATTTCAATAGTGGCATACTCTCTTGGAATCTACCTTCTTAACCTCTTTCTCGCATTCCTTCAACCTAAGTTCGACCCCTCCAATGAAGCTATCGATAATGATATGGAAGATGGAGCTGCTGGTGGATTACCAACTAAACAAGACGAAGAGTTCCGCCCATTTATCAGAAGACTTCCTGAGTTTAAGTTCTGGCATTCAGCGACAAGAGCAATCGGAATTGGTTTCGCTTGTACTTGGTTCGAGATTTTCGATGTACCGGTGTTCTGGCCAGTGTTGGTTGTTTATTGGTTGATTCTGTTCACATTGACCAGTAAGTAATTCCTTGACAGAAGAATAACTTGAGAGAGACAGATTTGTGTTTCAACATACTGACCTTTTCCGCAGTGCGCAGACAAATTCAACATATGATTAAATACCGATATGTGCCATTCTCGTTCGGCAAGACTAAGTATACCAAGAACAGCTCGTAAACTCAATCGGTTTCAGGAAGCAACGAATAAATGACCTGCTCGGGTGACGACAGAATTTGAGAAACGATAGCAATGCTATCTTGTGTACAAACAGCTGTACTTCATATGTGTTCATGAGAGGATTTGGGGAGCAGGAGGCAGAAACCCTTACTGATTTTAATTACAATTTTCTCTGTTCCAGTATACTTAGGGGTTTTCTAGGACATTCAAGGGTCGGTATAGCTGAAAAGCTATCGGGAAATAGATGATACGAGCTAGTCGAAGTCAAGAGAAGAGCAGCATCATCACAACATCGCACCTCTCAAGCTCTTCGAAACATTAGCAAAGCTTCAAAAAGATCCTTCTGAAGACCCCAAATTCCTTTTGGACATTATTCCAGAATTTCAAGGTCGCGCAACCAAATGATATCTAGCATACTCAACTTGTCTCCTTTGATATCTATTTCTGGGTGTGTGGTTCGTATATCGTGAACATATCTTTCCAAACACTCTTCGCCTAGACTGCATCTTTCTATGTAAATCCTTCCCTCAAAACATCTTAGCTAGGCTCTAATGTGCATGTATGTGATACAATCAGCTTCCTTTTCTATTAGGTACGGGCCAATGATCTGAGATAACAAGACTAGACATGACCCATAGTGAGAAAGTGAAATTTAATTGGACAAAACTTCAGCCACAGCTTCGTACCACCTGCATCCATAGGTACAATTCAGCCTTGTCACTAGCGCTATTTTCCCAGTGTCTGTCCATCCATCCATTCAGACGCGACATTCCCAAATTTATTAATCTACAACAATAAATTCAAGCATATCCACAAAACAATCATCGAGCAACAAGATGGCGTCCTCAGCATCTCGAATTGTTCATCAAGAATATATTGCTCGCATACGATATTCCAATGCCTTACCACCACCTCCAAATCCTCCCAAACTCCTCGACATCCCAAATACTGGCCTTGCCAGTGGTCAATATACTACACCTGGATTTGCTACAAGATTAGCGCGAGATCAACCATTGAATATCGAAGCCGATGCGGAACTTGGTATGCCATTAGACTTGGTGGGAATGCCAGGCATATTTGACGGAGACGAGAGCTGTAAGTTCGCATATTTCTTTGCAACTTGCGCAATCGCTCACTTTTAATTTCAATAGCTATACAAGCGCCATTGCATCCTCCACAACTTCATCCTCATGATCGTGCTCTCCTCAGACCATTGGCGACATTGGGCAAGCCCAAATTCTCCGACACAGGAGTCTCATTTTTGCGACGCACTGAATATATCTCTTCTGGCTTCACCTCAAAAGCGCGGATGGAAGGCACCACCTCAGCGAAAGGACTTGTTGACACACGAAAACCAAAACCTGTTCAAAACTTACCAGCTGATCGCGAATCTCCTGCATACATCAAGGCACAGGTTGAGAAGGGCTTCGAAACCGCCGCTACCAATCTCAAGGATCGCACCCGAGTCCGCCATCCTACCAAGCGGAATGTCCAATTAGTGGATGCAGTTCCTCTTATACCAGATCTCGATGCTTTCCCAGATGCGGGTGGATATGTCCTTTTGAAGTTCCTCACCAACCCTGTTCCTCCAAGCTCTACTTACGACGCTCGGGTTGAGAGCAGTGTTTTAAGACCCGCTGATCCCACCGAGGCAGAAATCGAAATGAAAGAAGCTGCTAGACAAGCTTATGAATTAGATCCCCATAATAACCCAGCTCCGGACGAAAAGATACAATACGAAATGTTCATGCCGGATACGGTTACTGATGCCAAGAATATCAAACGGAAATTCGACGTTCTGGATCCTGAACACGACGATAGGGACCTGTATTCACAATTTGATGAGGAAACAGGCAAAGGAGCGTTCAGACTGAAGAGACTCCGTGGCTATGAAACAGTTCAAACAAGCGGTGGGACAGATGACAAATATGATGAATATGTGGTGATAGCTATGCACGATGGGACCGATGGATTACACCAAAAAGCCGCTCATTACTATCCTGTCGTTCAACGAAGTTCCATCAGACCACAGAGAACCAAGAATATTCAAAAGATGAGGCACAATATTAGCGGCGAAGAAGAGGAAGTTTTGGATATGGTGGATCTGAGTATTGTTGACCCGAGCGCGGAGACGAAGCAAGTGATGGAAGGGTTCAAGACTTGGCCGTATGGAGAGAACCATGAAGATGACGCAGAAAGAGAGGCAGCTGAAGTCGAGGAGGCGCTCTCCGAAGCAGATGCTGAAGGCGAGGACGACGATCTGAATTCGCCTGTAAGACCTAGTTTGGGTGGAAAGACAATTGCGTCTAGGGTGCAGAGTGATGAGGACGATGACGATGAGAATGAGAGTTTACATTCTGAGGATTAAGGAATGTTGATCTGGACGAGGACCGGAATGAGGACAAGACTGTTGGAAAGAAAATATAGAGATGAAGCAAAGAAAGGAACGAGAGATAATGGAAAATGCGCATATGTGCATATTAAACGAATATCTATCGAGCAATAGGTAATTAATCATACAGGTCTACTTTGATTTCGCATAGCAAGGGGCGGCGTTCTTTAAGGATGGTTGCAGTTATACAGCAGAAGAGAAAGATATGAATAAAATGATACCTACACATGGATATCTTAAGTCAAGATATCGTGGACAATCTGATAAGAATGTGAAAATGAGCATCAAAGTGAGAGTCAAAGTAACCACTCTACAACGATGTATGTTTGCGAGTATGATATTCATGATATGTAATTAACTAACTATATGCACCTATCCTACCCCATTCTAACCTATCCTATTCCATAAAAACCAGCCTATTCCCAACTAAACCCCAATGAACCAAAAGAAAGAAAACGCCTGTGCTAATATGATGCTATGCTTGCGTACCTGTATGTTTGCGTGTGTGTATATCATGCTTCTAAATCCAAAATGACTGCAACGAGAACCTCGTCGCTAAATTACATTCTTGTCTATATTCCCGCCAAGCGACACTACCCCTACCTTATTTGATCGGTGAGAGAAAAAAGGTGAAGGGTCCAATGATAATTCTTATCTCCTATTACTTCATTTACAATTCCACATTCGCATCTACACATTTAAACCACCAATTTCTCTTCAAACACGTTTCCTTGTGTTTTGGAGTCGCGCTAGGCGTTGGTTTTACATCAGGTGAAGGATCAACGCAGACGAAACCAAACCAATTTTTAGAGGTGCATGTTTGGGTTGTAGTCGATGGGGTTGAGTTTGTGGGCGAGGGGAGAGGTGGTGCGGAAGTTATGGAATGGGATGAATCTTTTGTACTCGAGACAGAAACGGATGTGGAAGTAGAGGTAGGATCTTTGCAACCAAACCAGCCAGGATGCTCACAGGTTGTTGTTGCAGTTGTACTCGTAGTAGAAGAGGTGGAAGTGGGTGTATGTGGCACTGAAGTGCTACTGCTTTTAGTGGTAGTTTTCTCATCTTTGCAGCCAAACCAGCCAGGGGTTTTACAAGTTGAGGTTGAGGTTGATGTGGTAGTAACCGGTACGCTAGTCGTATGTTTGGAGGTTGTAGATGCATCTTCATCTAAGCAGCCCCACCAGCCAGGCGTTTTACACGTGGAGGTACGACTCCGAGTGTTCGTGGTCGAAGTCGATGGCGCTGAAGTGGCGGTGCTACTGCTGTTGCCTTCTACCTCTTTCCAAAGTGGACAGTCTACACATTCCGGTGTAAACTTGCAAACTGGTACCGTATCGTAGACTTTTATGATTTGCTCGATAACAGTTATGATCTTGTGTGACCAGATATGTACTCCCCACCCGTGATCGGCCACAACGTCATAAACACACTCCATACCGCTATGGCATGAGCTTTCTAATGCGTATCCAGCGTATGAACAAGAAGCGGTAGCTCCATTGCACGTTCCCAAATAGATCGGGTCGGCAGTATGTCCAAAATGATAAGCTCCAGTAAACTCACGCTTTTGTGGTGTACTTGGATTGTGACCTGGTGGCGCTGGTAGACCTAAACGACTTACGGGTAGAGCATCTGGAACGGCCTCGAATGTAACAACAGGAATGCCATATGTCAGCCCTAACATAGAACTGACCGACCCACCAAGAGAGTGGCCTGACATCCAGACGTTTGCGTTAGGATAAAGAGCTGTGACATTGGAGTAGAGGTGTCGAGCCGCGGTGTAGTATCGGTTTTCAGACCTTAAGCTTTTCTTGAGGCACGATACATTGCAAGTGTAAGTTCCAGTAGCACAATCGCAGACTTGTCGGTAGAAAGAAGCACCTTGTTGGCCACAACAACAACTGAAGAACAAATTGTCGTTCTCCTTGTCGTTTGTAGTTGTCCCGTCTCCATCGTACACCGCAAGACTCGTTCCTTTCAATCCTATGACAATTGTCGAGTTCGACTCATCCATATAAATATAACCTCGTAGCCCGTCGGCATCCCAGCCAAATCCATAGTCATCGGTTCGATTAAAACCCCCATTGACGTCCTTCCAATCCCCTGTTTCTGGTTTGTCCACGTAGGCGTTCGCTGCCATTTGTGCCAGTGTTATGATGGTATCCTTGTCTGTAATATCCGGTCCAGGAATTTCGTCAACAGTCCAAGCCGACGGTGATAATGCCCATACATCTCCGCTCTCTCTTGATGCCGCCACCATTGGATCAACCACTGAAGGTCTCCTGTCTTTTAATCGTTCTATCTTCACTGAGCTCTTCTTCATAACCAATGGCCTTGTCACCTCTTGTAATGGCCCCTTTCCATCTTCGGATTCCAGCCATACTGTTGACTTGGACTTGGTATCTAAAATATCGAGTTGTTTGTGTAGTTGAGGGTATTCGTACGTTCCATGATGGAAGACGTGGCGAAGGGACTGTTGTTTACTATTAGCATTATTTAAAACGTGGCGGTGAAAGGATATATTTACAAATACATGATTTCCAGCGGAATCCTGTTCAGATCCTGGAATCAAAGGTGGTAATATGGGCAATATTGGTTGCTGCTGTTGTTGTTGTTGTTGATGAGTTGAGTCCGATGCACTTATCGGTGTCGATAAGGCCAGGAAAGATAGTAGTAATTGAGCTGTAACCCTGCCAGCAGAATAACAAGATGTAGATGATTTATACCTCATCTCTTAGAAAGTACTTATGGATGAGGAAAACAAAAGAAATGAAGATACTTTGCTACTTTGTTGTATATGATTAGCAATATAGTAGGTATGTTTTGTTGAGCACACTCGAGTATTGAGATGAGAGACGAGTGATGGATGATACTCGAGTAGATGACGATAGTTTAATGTCCAAGAGGCGTCACAAGCACACAAGCATTAGGCGGAGGATTATCCTTCTGTGCAGGACATTGAAATGAAGAAATCCTATTGGTTCTCTGGCTAATCCTTGCGCGTCTCTTATATTTCACAGCCTCGAGACAACCATCTCGGTTTGGTTGATGTTGGGAAAGATTGCCGTACCTGACAGGAGAAGGAGATCCATTCATATGATCAAATGTACCGTTAGTCATACTCAGCTATACGCCCAAGTTGAAGGTTGAACCAAGTCAATCTGGATCGATTGGGAAAGCCGACCCCTTCGTCATACCTCTCTCAATTTACCAAAAGATACGCCGGCCGGAATACAAAACCACATCCAATACCTACCTAGTACATCACAAATCGAAGACCAACTGGCAAAAGCTGGCGTCAACGAGTGAGTCGTCCATAGCTAATTAAGGCAGTAGCTTATTAGTCCTCGTTCTCGTGGACTTATCTATTATAAACACACGTAGCTTCAAGCTAATCACGGAAACTACTTCGACTACCTAGGTACTCAGACTATCAGACTACATCGAGTACTACTATCTTCCATTTCCTTTCCTTTCCGTTCATTTGACTGCCTTCTACCTCCTGTTTGGTTCATCACAATCAATTTATGCTTATGAAATGTAACTTGTTTCTCTTCCTTTTACATACATCGAACTCTCCAATATTCCCACACTCTTTTACACAACGATCCCCGGTTGTTGCTCGAGCAAAGTAGAGTTTCAGGCGTCATAGTATTCATGCGACTTTAGTTCATCACTTCATAAATAGGTATTAACTGTTCATCTTCTCAATTCTCTCTCATTGCCTTCAAAATGCAGTCATTTACTGACAAGATGCATTTTACTTTACCAGATTTCATGTCGTCTCCAGGGAAAAAGAGTGATAGCCAACGGCCTCGTCCGTTGCAGCTTTCCAAGTCATTTTCAAATCAAGAACCACCGTCCAGTCCGGATCGTCTATCCCGTCCTCTCAGAGCAAACACCATACAGAACGGCACTGTCCCGTCAATACTGATGTCGAACACAGCAAAGTTGGGAGAAAACCAGCGACCTGGGACACAATCAAATATTTTTGAGAAAACCTCCGAGGATGGAGGAGAGGGCGGGGAATCGACCGAGGCGTCTGGAAAGTTACCCGTGGACTTCGATGAACTACCTATAGAACTTGTGAGCTTAGCAGATAGGTCAGTTGAATCTCTAGCATAAAGCAACCAACACGCTTGATTAACATTCCCTGTAGTTTTATTGATTCTCTATCTGCAAAGATTCATCCCACCCCTCCTTCAGTCGACAAATTATCGGGGCTTTTTCAAGACTTCTATGCCGTTGCCGCCAATCACATCAACACTCACATCTCCGCATTATCCTCCCGACAACATCGCGCAAGCTCTCCAGCGCCACCAGCCTCATCGTTATCCGCGACGGCGAGCAAGATCAGAGCGAAAGCTACTTCTATGAATAAGGAACGTCCCAAAGTAATAGAAAGAAAATCATCTGAACAACAGATGTTAACTAGTGAAGAAATCAACGAGCGGAAACGTGCTAGGAAAGCGCTTGAACATAAACGTGTTGCATTAGAAGAAGCAATGGAGAGGAGAGTTTGTGAAGGCATATATGATAGGATATGGCGACACAGGAGTTCACAAGATGAAGCTCAGGACGAGAAACTCCGATCGAAAACTGCCGCTTTGTCAGTGGTTGGGATAGGGTTAGTAGATTTAGGAGTCGATTTGGGCATAGAATCGAGTGAAAAGCCAGACGCGGCTGAAAAGCGAGAACTGGAGGTTCGAGAGTGGCTAGAAGGTGCCAGAGGAGAGTTGATTGCGATGAACGACGAAAGATATCCTCTTGGGAAACTTAACCACTTAAAGGCAGCCCATAAAGGTATTGTTGATACCTTATCACACTTTCATCCATCTTCATCGGCGGATGAGATTATGCCTATGCTCATCTTTACTCTTATAACATCTCGACCTGAAGGGATGAATGTTATAAGCAACCTTTACTTTATACAGCGATTTAGATGCGAAACGAAGATTGATGGGGAAGCTGCTTATTGC